CATTGTGAGTGAAGAGTCTCTATTGGGAGTATTATGGAAATATCGGATCGGATTTAATGAGGCTGCTCGCATCAGCGGAACATATAGCTGAGAGAACATTCAGCCCACGACGACTAGAGCTCCAATAAGGAGATTGGAAATAGGATACAGCCGAAGTGTATATATTTTTTTTTGGAAAGAAATTTCCTCAGGTAACGAATACCACGTCAGTCACTGTACAATATGCACCAAGAACAATGTGGGATGCTCAAGGTCCCTTTATCTGCCTCGTCTAATGACTTCCCACAGCGGGTTGTTAGGGCTTAGACAGCGGGGCTCAGAACAGGCAACTTTTCTACATTTCTTTTTTTTCACATTCAGAGGAGCTCCATCAAGGTACATGATTGGCAATTTTCGTCATAATCTTCACATTATTAGGAGCAGGATTGACACAGTGGAAGCGGCGCAGACTCTGAGCACCTATAGCTTCGTCGGATCAGGGGGGCAGGGTGGGGGGGGGGTCCCAGGAGCGGGCCCACATCCAGCACGGCATCCTTATCCTGGTCCTGATACCTCAGTAGACACATGCACTGTATTTTTCTCCTTATAGCACAGACGGCGTGGGTGCTATGGCGAGAAAGATTTGCTTAGAGATATTTTTAAAAAGTACGGAGAGAAATAAATAAAGATAAAAAAAATAAGTAAATAGACTAAAAGAGTCTACTGTCTATTATTGTATTTAAGCTTTCTGTCTGTCTCGTTTAAATCGTAGCGCGCTGCTTGAACAGGCCTGAAACGTCATTTCTGATTATTACCGTTTTAACAGCTTAATTGTATGTGTTTTTAATTTTTGTTTGCTTCGACGATGGCTGATTGCTTGGAATGGCATTTTTGCCCCTATTATTTCACAAATTTTAAATGCTGCTAACAGAACACGTTAAACAAGGTCGACGAACAAAAACAAAAAGTGGCATCCCCCTCAGAATGGTCCAGTACTAAGTTATCTATTGAGAGCGCTTTCTTCTCTCTGGTCAGGCGAGGGCACGGCGGTTTTGCTCAGCACGGCGGCCGAATAGGGCAGGAATCCGCTCTCGGAGCGCTGCGCGCTCGCCGTGCACGTGAAGTCAGAGCCGGCGCCGCGCGAGCCCAGCGCCCCGGCCGCCTGACTGCTGTGGCAGCTGAGGCACGAGCAGGGCCCAGTGGCGGAGGGCGCGCTGACCGCGGCCGCTGCTGCCGCTGCCGCCGCCGCTGCCGCCGAAGCCGCCGCCGAGCTGTTGAGGCCCGCGGGCGACTGGTATAGTCCCGGGTGGCGGAAACTGCAGAGCAGCTCGGGCCGCGAGTAGGGGTGCGAGAGCGCGCGGAACGTGTCGAGGGGCCGGATGGAGGTGGCGAAGGGCGAGGACGCGGCGCCCGAAGCTGCGGCCGCCGCCGCCGCCGCCGTCACACCGACGTGGGGGTAATAGTGCAGGGGCATATGAGAGTGGAATGGGTAGGGCAGACTTCCGGTCGCTGCCGCGTGCGTCATCATGTAGGTGTAGAAGCTGGGATCGGCCGGATGTGGCCAGGACATGGCCAGGCGCTGCCTCTTGTCCTTCATTCGCCGGTTCTGGAACCACACCTACACACACAGGGAACCGTGAGGTCACTTTGTCCACTTTGCCCAAACTCAGATCTCCTTGCTCCCCCCCCCACCCCAGGTATTGTGTTTGGGTAAGCTACTAGTCCAAGGTGGTCTAAAAAGCACAGGCCTACACGACTGAGCTCTAAAACAGACCTCCAAACGTGTGTGCTAAAAGCATAATTTCGGAAAAGGTCTGATTTCACGGTCTGTCACACAGGTGAGCTGTGTATTGTTAAAAACAGTCTAACAAAATCTTAATTGAAGCATAACAGCAGCAGAAGCGCATCACCAGGAAACACAAACCAAAATAAACATTTGGTTCAACAAAGCAGCGCGTCCAAAAAGACTCGAATGCAAAAAAAAAAAAGACTTTTTACGTTTTAGCTGATGCCATACACAATTATTCGAATCACAGCAGCCACCACTTTGTTATCATCTTAGTCTGAGTAAATTATTAACAGCTAGGCTTACAGTGTATTTTATAAAATGAGAAATTTAAATTGTTTTTTGTTTGTTTGTAACATGGCTGATGAGTAGAATACAATATGACTATTTGGGCTAAATAACATGAAGTTCACACATGCTATTTAGCCAAAATACCTTTGTATTTAAAATATATGCACGAGTAGGCCTAGCTTCAGTATTTAAATTGATGATTTTAAAAGAATTTCAATTGCCATAACCCGTTTTAAAGTACAGCGCGCGCTGTTGTGGCTTGTGGTGAAGTGTATGTGCGTTCCTACGTCTGTGAGTGCATGTAACTTAAGCCCCAATAATGTAGACCAGTTTAATGCTGTATGTGGTTTCAAAAACAATAATTTATAACTGATCGTTTTGTACATATTTCTATTATATTCACAAAACAGAAATAAATTGAATAACGTATTAAGCTGCCATTATATAAAGGAGCAACGTTTAAACTGCGTCCTACCTTTATTGTGGTCTCAGGCAGGTTTAACGCTGCAGCTAGCTCACACCTCCTGGGTCGAGAGACATAATTTTCTCTGTAAAACTCCTTCTCCAGTCTGGCGATCTGCTCTCTGGTAAAAGCGGTGCGGTACCTGCGCACCTGGTCTGAGCTGGAGTTGTTGGAGCTCCCGATGGAGTTGTGGTTGGAGACAGACGAGGAGCTCGAGTTGGAGCTGCCTGAGTTACTGTCAGAGAAACCTAAACACGGGGTGAAGAGGAAATACACAAAATAGTATTACAAACAAAAATGCAGTGATTTAGGCCTGAGTTTCTGTCAGAATGTAAATGTAAAGGTGTTGAGATCAAATCACAGCCGGGTGGATTTCTACAGCTTTTCATGCATCTTCGCTGCAAGACTACAAATTTAAGTAACTCACTACCCCAACAATATTTATTAACAAACAACAAAACAGAACACAAAACAAAACAAAACAATAAAAATCAGCACAGAAAAAATATTAATTATTCTTCTCGGAATAATTATTGTAGTGCAAAATAATGTCAAGGAAACCAACCGGTCTATTTCTATATTTATGTAGTGAAATGTGAAGAATGCCTATGCATATGAATTGATTTTGTAATGTATCATATATTACAATATTCACGCTCATATAAAATACCAGGAAACACCAGATTATGACTTTTAACTAGCCGGAAATTTAGCAGATTTCAAGGCTGGTAAAAAAAATACATCTAAATCTGTTTGGATTTTTTTTTGCACTGTTTCTGCATTATTAGTCAATAAAATATTACTGTTTACTCATCGATGTTGGACTTAGCATCAATCAAATGTTGAAATAATAAAACCTTTACACGTATGCAGACACAGAAATGCACCGTAGTGTGTGCGCGCGCTCACGTGTGTATGTGCGCGTGTGTGAGTGTGTGTGTGAGAGAGAAGTGATCTTACCTTTGTTGTTGTTTTCCTTGTGCTGGCTCGCGCTGCCCGGTGAGCGGTGAGCCGGACACCCCACTTCCACGTCGCTGTTCATTTCGGAGTCGGTGGACACCTCCGGGTACAGGCTCACTTTTTTCCTGCCGTCCGAGCTCGAGATGTCGGCCGAAGCGCTGTTGTCGCTCGGGTGGTGGTTCCCGAACAGGCTGTCGATCTCGAACTTGCCTTTGGCGGGCATGTCGCCCAGGGCGCCGTGCAGCGAGGCCGGGGGCAGTCTGGGGCTTAGGCGGCCCGCGTGCGCGGAGTTCTCCAGGGCCTCGAGCACCGCGCCGCCGCCGTTCGAGTCCGACAGGTTGGAGAGGCGCTTGGCTGCAACGGGACTGTGCAGCCCCCTCTCCATCAGAATCATCTCTTTTCTTATCCTCTCCATGGGGACGTGGCGCAGGAGAAAGCAGGCGAAGTCCGGCGAGCGGCGGCGGAGCTAATCCACATTCAGCTCTGCTACTGCCTCTAAATAATATAACACCTTTATGAGCGGGACGAAACTAGCAAAAAGAGAGATAGAAAGAAAAAAGAAAGAAAGAAAGAGAGAGACAGTGAGAGAGAGCGAGAGAGAGAGAGAGAGAAGAATGCCAGTGCGGGCGACGAGTAACTGCTCAAAATGACCCGTGCATCCTCTCCGGTCCGAGATGTCATTCATCAAAAAGTGGCTCGCTGCTCCGCCGTTAAAGGTGCGCGTGACGCCGCTCGCATGATCATTTATTGTAACAGGTTTATAAGCAAATAAAAGAGGGAGAGGGGCCGCGCGAGGGTGATGGAGGCGGCCAGCCACATATCCAGGTGGAGAGAGAGAGGAGAAGTGAGGAGAGGAGGCGCCGCGCCGCCGCTGATCTGCTCCTACTTTAGATGGCTCCTGGGTTTGGCCTCTGGGGTGAAATTGACAGTCTGATTAATAAAATGAGCCCGGCAACATTTCCCTCTTCATTTAGGAATATCATTATGCTTTGATTCTCTATTGTTCCTCCCTTCTGCGCAGACTCTCTCTTCTCCCCCTCTCTGCCTCCCTCTCTTTCTTTTTTTCCCCTTTTCTCTGTCCATTATTTCACTCAGACCGTTTTCGAATGAGACATTAGCTGAGGAGTTGCTTATTTTCACTGAAAGCGATTGTGGGCTTCACGGAATTGGCATTTTCTTAAAAGTGACTTATTTGTTTTTTGTTCTCGATCGAATAAACACTCAACACCGAAAATCACAGTGCAAATAGTTCTCAGCTCCTTTCTAAAACTATAACATGCTATTGTAATGTTTTTTACTGCAGCTGTAGTGTATTGTTGCAATGTGCATTCATTGTTCGTTGCCCAACGACAAAAAAGGCAACTAGGTCAATAAAACAGAATTAAAAATCACACACTTGTGCTAAATAATTAGCTTATAACGGTTAAATATCATTTAGTATTGTTTAAATAAAAAAAACAACAACAACGATAAAATGCGGTAAGAAGGCAATTTGTTAAAATACAATTTTTGTTGTATTATTTTATTTACAATGGTAAACAATAATATGCATGTTCCATAACAACATAAACATACATTATTTTCGTTTTTATCGAGATTTTGAGTCTTTTTTTATTCTTCCACATCACACAGTATGCAGTCCCAGAAACTCTATTATGGATTCTAATTGTGATTAATGAGGCTATCGAAATAACATTTGGTAAAAACAACCTACTTTCATATGTAGGGTACAATTAAAATAACTCCTCTAATAAGCACCCTCATTACTTCCACTGCCCTGTTCAGTTAGATCGCCTATTTCTGCCACCCTGTCTACTGTATTTCGTCTCAAAAATCTGGCAAGTCAGCAAGGTGTGCATTAATGTCTGATCCACATATGATGGTGAGAGCTGAGCTCCGGATCAGGCGCGCGCTTGAGGGAGTGGACGGCTCGTGATGGCGGGGTTAAGTGAGAGCGCAAGCTGCTTTCATTCGGCTTGAAGACCGGGGACGCGTGTGCAGAGCGCCGAGCCGCTTTCACGTCCTTTGGCGCCCCCATCAGCTTTTCTCCAGCGAGGCGGCGTTACATTTCAGAGCCATAACAGAAACAGTGAATTTGTATAGACCCCTGTAATGGCTTATATGGTTCAGTACTTAAACTGCTATTATGTATTACAGACCAAGACATACGAGAAGGATAGGAAGTAGATAAGTAGATAAATGAAACGCTTCTGAATAGCCTCAGCTCTCAACACAGCACAAAATACAAGGTACAGCATGATAACATAGCGCTTATTCTAGGAATTCAGCTGAACCGTAGGACAGAGGCGGGTAGTCACTAGTTCCATTTACTCAGTTACATTCAAATTAGTACATTTTTTATCGATTTATACTTTTCTGAGCATTTTTAAACGCTAATAATTTTGCTTACTCGTGTATTTGCGAGCAAACTAATCCACTTTTTACCCGTTCTCACTTTATCCATTCACATTGGGTTTTTTTGGAGGTTCAATTCCAATATGCTGTTGTTGACAGCACCTAGACTGTGTTGCTATTGTTCACACCTCTCCTTTTGTGCTTTGTATTTTGTTTTACACCAGGATCCCAAAAAGAGAATAATAATGTTTAACAAGTTGCAGTTTTGGTGCTGGATGTAAAAAGTTCCACTTTACTTATATAGGGGACTCTGTAAGTAAAAGTTAACTGAGTTAAGTAAGTAAAACGTTAAGAACGTTAAGTGTTTTTTTTTTCCTTGCTGATTATTTTCTAGGCTAATTCAACATCTATTTCAGTAATTATTGCAACTTGGGAACAATTTCATTACTTGAATATGGGCGCTAGGCTATTCTGCACACCTCTGCCATAGGAAACTGTTCAGATTTCAGCTGGCTCCTCTGGCTCCTCCAGAAGCATAATTGCTAAGTTTATGTAAGCTATGCTCCAGGTGTCCTTTAATATGCTAATATACTTTACATATTTAAAAAAGCACATTAAAACATTGTCTAATTTAAGTACTTACTTTTTAATTGAATCATGATTCAGTGATGCCTACTATAAAACGTGGCAGCATTTTAAATGATGTGTTGTTAGAAGCTATATCTGGCCCCAATAAAAGAAGGGACAATAACATGCTTTGTGTCATTCTGAATCACTTAACCCTTTATTTACATATTCGTGTCATTTTGTCTTGTTTGTGCACTGGTGTATTTGTACTGTGTGTATGTGTAAATATGAGCTACACTCTCAGAAATAGGTATGAAACTGTCACTGGGGTGGTACCCTCAAGGATACATCTCAGTACCTTTAGTTAGGGAACATAATTGTACCATAATCCATTGAAATGATATTTTCCAAGTTGTATGGACTTCGCACACCCTGTCTCGTCTCCAGGCTTTTAATTTTATCATTCTGTTTTAAAACATTAGGTTATTAAAAGGTACAAATATGTTCATTTCACCAGGAAAAACATATTTAAGGTACACAATTAGATCTTTAAACCGCTGTTGTACCTTTAAGGGTACATTTACATTGTTTGTACCTTTATGAATGAAAAATGTACCTGCACAGTACCTTTATTTCTAATAGTGTCTCTTATGTACCCCCCACGGATCAATAAAGTACACTTCTGTACAGATCTATCTATCTATCTATCTATCTATCTATCTATCTATCTACAGTAGTTACCAAATAACAAAAACAGTAGTTATGGAGTAATGAATTTTAAGATTAAAAATAGAATAATAAACGTGCAGCCTTATATGTATTATTCATTAATTGCAATAAATTATCTGGTAACTACTATGATACTGATCTGTAGTTAAGTCGTTATGACAGTAAGAAACTGAAATGTGGGCCAAATACAGGCCTTTGGATTTAACGGGTGAAAACTTTCCCAGTAATAGCTAGATCTCAAATTCAAAATATAACAATGGCAGCTACATTTTTTATCACGTATATAAGCGTGGGCATGAGCTCGTCAATGGGCTGTTCGGCGGTTTCTCATAAATGATGCTTCCTTACATAAGGAGGATCTTATAGCCTACCGTAATTGTAGCTTAACAACTACATAGATATTATAGCAATGATCGTGAACCCTGCTGTTATTTGGAACTGCTCTTGCATGCTTAGGTCTAGACAATATAAATGTCAAATGAACGACAGTGTATATTGTAAAATGGTTATAATTCGTGTACAGTAACGTTATAGTCTACTTATGGCTCACGTAGCGCATAAACATGCTTGTAAGGTCACAACCAATTTGAATGGACCTGTGCCGTTTTGAAAACATGCACTTACAAAGTGACCATATTTACAAAAGCGACAACACTATGCGATATACAACCATGTAAGTCACATGCACGTGAGTGTTTACGTAATTTACTTAACTCAAATTTCAGAACTTGAAAGAAGAGTTAAGTAAATTTGTAAGTTTGTAAAACTTTAAAGTGAATTTTACACATTAGGTTAAACATAACTATTCACAAAAATCATGCCACGTGTCAGAAAAAAAAAATAGAAAAATGCAAGATTAACATTTCAGTCAGCTCATTGGCCACTTGAGAAACCTCTAATTGTCTTGCTTTTTTAAAGATAGGCCAACTTCAGAAACAGCTCTAACATTTCTAAAACAGAAAGGGGCTGAGAAAAAACTAGGTGAGTCGTGTCTGACCTGGTTTTATTGCACTGCGTGGTATGTCAGCCAACTACAAAGCACCAGGTTGTGTACAAACCAGAGACAAAACAACAGGCTGTAGTCTGCAGTTCAAGTTCCTCGTCTGGTTTTGTTTCCGAAAGGCTTGACGGTTAGGAAGTCATCATACGGGCTCACAGCTGTTCACCCGGCAGCTCTACTTAGTGACCACGGCTGCGGACACGACTGCTGCCTTCAAAGGCGGCCATCGATCAACGGACGAGCTTCCACAATGTGGGCTGCTAGAGCCATCTAGCGATAAACTGATAATACTGCACGCCTCCGCGCGCTCTGGCTTCTTCTGCTTCTGCTGTAGTTTACCGACCACGCTGTGGTTTGCAAGCTAACCAGTGACCTTATAATTCCGTATAAATCATTACCGAGCTGTTCCGTAGGACATACAGGTTACTTCAGCAAATTTGCTCATTGCTCACAGTGGTTGGTGCAGATGTTACGGAACAACAAAATACTGAAAAAAACAATGTTTTAAACTACTTTGAAAAGTTACTCGTGTAGTCTTACACTTCCTAGCTTCCAATAATAGGTTAATAGAATGTAAACCACATATTATTGTTCTGTTAACTTACTATTAGAAAATCAATTTACTCAAAATGATGAGGCAAACATGTTATGCTACTTTTTAAAAGTTTAAACAGCGAATCATTTTTACAGTCAAAACAATGCATAGTCGAACATTTTTAGCCTTAATTAACACTTTGGTTGCATTGTCACCTTACATACACTGTGCGCTTGTTTGTACACTCTTAGCAGAAAGGGTTCTAAATAGCACTGAAGAAGGGTTCTTGGACTCTTAACAATAGTGGAACCCTTTTTAGTGCTATAGAACCATTTGCAAAATTATTTTCCAACATAGAGAAGAACCATTTGACCATACAAAGACACGCATTTAGATGGTCCTTTGAGCGTTTGTGGTTCCATACAGACCTATTGTCTTTAACAAGGAACAAATTTTGAAACAGAAACATGTACTGTTGGTATCCGAAAAGTGAAGGTAAAACATGTATTAAATATATTCTTTAACGAAAGTCTAGGTCTACTGATTCAGTTTTTGCACCAGCTAATAGTTCTTTTCTATCTTTGATAGTTTCTACAACTAGGAAATTTTAAAATCAGGACGTTTTGTAGTTTTTAGTTTACAGATCGCCGTGTCTTATTTAAGATCAGCCTCTAAATCGTTTTCTGACAACAAGGAGACCAGTGTTCGTTCTGGCAGGCTGTGAGAAGAGTATTTTCCATCACATTATTACTGCCTTGCTAATGGAGCTCGACTCAGATGCTAAATTACCTACCTTAGCTATTAAAATGTCTTATATACATTATATACACGACTTGATTGCTGTGGACCTAACCAACACATTTTCTTGTTTACAAAAGTAGGTAATCGGATAAACACACTCATTTTAATGTATTTTCTGATGTTTAAACATCACAAACACAAGACATTAAACAAGTTGCTGTGATGTAAAAGTTGTGTAAAATACATATTCTAAATAAATTCATCTACGAGATAAGATTCATTACAACAGTAGCCACAATATATTTTCAATCTAATTATAAAGGAAAAGTTATTCGACTTATTTAAGTAGCTTGTGACTTGGTAAGCAACCGATTTATTGCTGAATGTAGGTCTAAATCAAAAGCTAAGGCCAAACACGCTAACTCCAGCTAGGATTACTGCGTACAGTTTCAGCTGAGTCAGAAATAAATAGCCTACAGTTCGCCTAACTGAAAGTATATGGTAAGTAACGAGTGGAGAGGTTTCGGGGGCTTTGGCTCAATAGACTGATTTGGAAACAGGATGTCATGCCTAACGATGATGGAGGCTGTTAGAGATTCCATGCTTTAGTATACTGTTAAGTGTTAGTTAGCTGGTTTTAATCTATTCTAAAATTAATAGATTTAGGTGGATTAATTATCTAGTTTAATATATTCACTTGTAGTCCCAAATAGGCACAAAATATCAGAGAACAAACGCATGTGAGAGTAAAACACTGAACCTATAAATATAGTTAAGCATAGGCCTATAAACTCAGGCTTCAAATGCACTCGTTAAAGCACTCGTACGCATTGCGCTTAATTGGGGCATCTACAGAACATGTCAAGCTTAAGTTTTTTAACAATTCAGAATATGTGAAATGCTGGTTTATTTGTCATTGGTTAGCATACAGTATCAAAAAATAAGAAAAAATAAGAATGTTCATTGCAATCATCTCATGAATCTTTTTAAAAGCACAGCGTAGTATTTGACAACTTCATTATTTATTATTTATTATTATTTGTTGATAGCCCAGCATAATTGTCGATGTCCTAAAGCTCATTTAATTTTGAATAAGAAAGATCCTTGTCTCAAAGCATATTCCAGGACTTTAATATGTGTAAATATACATAATAAATGGGTAATTATGTCAGCAACAATAATAATAACAAATACATAGAACTGGTATGCGGCTTGCTTGGTTAAAAACTGTTTTGGAGAATTAGTAACCACATCTAAACATTATCGAAGGTCAACCTAGTTATTTGCATGTCACATGACCACCAGCAGCCAATCACATTTCAGGTTGTCAGAGTCCTGTAATTAGTCCGGAAAAATATAAAAGCTTCGCTGTCAACTGTATTGGTTGAGTGCTTTGCCCTACTTGCCTGGTCTGGATTAGCAGAGGATGATGGTTTTAATTAGTGTCAGGTGTAATCTCACGTATAGGACTGTAAGGGTGGTCAAATAAACATGGAGCTGGAGGAATTAGGCGGGGAAACAGCCTCGGTTGCCAACAGAAGTTTTTATCCGTCTGCTTTTGGACAACACTCGAATCGGTCTTCCTCAGGAGCCGCTGTGTACCCACTGTCGGAAGGAACAAGCTCTCTGAGCCCGGAGTGTTTCACCCCTTATGTGTCTTTTCCCAGCTCAGCGACCGGTGCCAACACGCAGGTCACCTTTGGGTGCCACTTCGCCAACAGTTGCTACACTTGCAAAGCCCCTCCAAGCGCTGCGTTTCAGCCGAGTGGCATGAACCACGGTGCCAATGGGAATGTAGGTGGACATTCAGCTGACAAGCAGGACACAGTCGGGTTCGGCAGGGCCGCGCTTCGCTGCGGTGAAGTCCCGGGTAGGGTTCGGGACTTAGGGGTCTATCAGGGCTACACGGGTCCCTACTCATACCCAAGGATCCCTGGATACATCGATGTGCCTGTAGCGCAGCGGGCAAGGACCAGAGATCAAAGACGTGAAAGTCCTTTCGCAGTAGAAGGCTACCAGCCATGGAACTGGTCGAGCAGTTGGAGCGGCCAGGTTTATTGTCCTAAGGAACAGACGCAGAGCTCGCATATCTGGAAATCATCACTAACAGGTAAGATCTGTAGCCTAACTCACATCTCACCTCCCCTTATTAGCCAGGGCCAATCGTAAAGGTGGGCTTTTCTGGCTAAAGTACTTATTTGAAGCACGGAAATTACATGCATTCAACGTGGGTGGTTTTGTTGAACTTAATGTACTGTGACGTATGCTACGCATTTCATTTCAGTCAAATAGAATATTGTGAGCATATAAGAACCAAAAATTAAATACAGCAACTGCGATGAACGTCAACATAGTTTAGTTTGTAAGCCAAACAACACTTCTCTTCGTTTTTTGAGTGTAAGGGTAATAAGTCACAAAGTAAATACAGAAATAAGCCATTACAAATATATACAAATATATATATACAAATATATATATATATATATATATATATATATATATATATATATAAGTCTTCAGTAGTTTGTTGTTTGTGTGCAGAGGACACAGCGCTGTCTCGGTCTGACCCTCGGCGGGTGAGGAAGAAACGGGTTCCCTACACGAAGCTACAGCTGAAGGAACTCGAGCATGAGTACACCATTACAAAGTTCATTACCAAAGAGAGGAGACGGCGGATAGCCTCCTCCACCAACCTGTCAGAGAGACAAGTGACTATATGGTTTCAGAATCGCCGTGTGAAGGACAAGAAGATCATTTCAAAAATATCTAAAGACTTTGAACCTTATCAGTGAATTAACAGCTGAAATAATGCGAGATCTTGCCGCCGCTCTTCAAATTCTGCGGTGCATTATTTATGGTAATGTGTGTGTCTATGTGTCCAGTCCTTGTTTGGTAAGGGTTATAGGTTAATCCAAATGTTATGATAAACAGATCTAAATGTATTTTAAATATTCTGTCGACCACTATCCGTTTTACAAAAGCACATATCACAGTTTCGGACATTAAGACTGCGACAGAAGACCATTCATTTGTTGATGCTTTTAGTCTTCTATGGCAAGACTAAACAGTTTCTGTTAATAGTTTTTTTTCCATAGAGATGTTTAAAGCGCACTGCTTCAGTTCACTGTTGATGCACCACAATAATTAGAATGAATTATCGTAAAACCACAACTTTATAAACTGGGAGTAGCCTGTGTGTTAGACGATACCACAATCATGAGGAACAATAAGGGGACAATGTATTACATGAATCATGACGCTTGTTACTGCTAAAGAATGGATGTCTAACACCTTAAATTTAATCACACATTTTTGGTAAATTATTGTTATTATTAATAATTTTATTGTTATTATTACTATTATTATTATTCGTAGTAGTAGTAGTGTGATTTAATCATAGTACTAATGCGACTGACAACAACAACAACAACAATAAGAAGAAGAAGAAGAAGAAGAAGAAGAAGAAATTATTACTTTTTTGTCAAACAGACCAAGACTGAGCACCGAGCGCGATTTGCAAGGTGGAGACACAAGCTGGCTTGGCTTCTGTGGTCTAGAAGAATCAAACAGTTCATATTTTACTGTAATGTTAAATGTGAGTCTCCTAAAATGTTCTTGTTTTGTTTGGATTTGTAATCTGACGGATCCGAGTCGGGAGCATTCAGTTCTGAAATGCTGAAATTCCAGTACAAGTATGGGCTAAAGCACGGCTACTGAAGTTCAGGCACGAGCTTTGTCCCTCCCCCCAAATCAAACTCCATCAGCCTTTAAAAGCCTTCTCGGTTTCTGTAAAGCGTTTTTTAGGACAATTTTCAATCTTTTACTCGGAGACTGAATCTTATCTTTACCGTTGACCTTGACACGCATTCTCAGACACGACCTTGACTGAAATGAGACTCATGAATAATGAAACAGCCCCCATTCATGGAACTGTCGTGCCATCTACTGGTCATGTTGTGCAACTACAGTTCAGCAGTGCTTTAACGAAAATGCCTTGCTCGTGTATGTTGGAAGTTAATTCAGGCGGCAGAACTGTATAATGTTGGGCGAAGGAAGGTTTCTCTGTGATTTTCCGCATTGTTAAGACATGAAATGCTCTGAAACAGAAACGCTGTAAAACAGGATTATGATGCTGTACCCACCGTTTCCTGTGGTCACAAAACACTTCCCACTCACACGCTGGTCCAGACACAAAGCGGCCGAGTGGCCATAAAGCATGCGGAAGGACTTAGCAACGGCTAAACCCCTGCAGAAAGCATCCTATATCATGTTGATGTTCTTCATCATTATCATTACAACAACAACAACAACAACAACAACAACAACAACAGTTTCGTCTCATGTCCTACATAACTGTAAAGGTTCATTCTGCCTGCAGATGCAGTGTGACATTGTGATAAAATGCACTTGGACTTGTTTTGGTAAATGTGAGTCTGGACTTTGACCTTGAACTATCTGATATTTTTTATACGGTCAGTGATTATGACTGTCCTTTTCTATGAAATAAATGCGATGCCTCAGCTTGCGTCATGCCTCTGAATACCGAGCAGATGGAAGAATCTAATTTTAATGGTTTGCATGAATTTACTAGACTCATAAAAGCTGGGAGGCCGAACTGTCTCTGCTCTTTCCGGCGCCTTTACAATTGTCATTTAGTCAACTGAGGATGGGGATACTTGGGCAACGTTTGGGAAACCCGCCTATAAGGTAAGGCAAGAAACATTTGAACATTGAACCAGACATTAAATTAAAGCACTCAGTTCGCTCTAGAGGTCCTGTAGTGTCTAAATATTTAGTCTATTGGCGAGTCGGCTTCTGTTGACCATTCACATTTTTCTGCTGTCTCAAGTTCAACAAAAGCCGTGGAGCCTTGCGTGCTGAATTCACCATCTGTAGACGAAGCTCTTACCGTTAAATTATATTTAAAAGTAATACAATTCTGTGTTTCAGGTGCTTAAATTATTATACAGAGTAATGCAATATCTAGCATGATATTATCGAGGCAGAGAATGGTCTGGGGTGGGTGGTCTCATTAATTCGAAAATGAGGAAAATACCGAGAGAAACACAAACTGTGCCGCTAACGTAGACGTTTATTTTATCTTAGGCTGAATTGTTTATTTTTTGCACTGACCTGTTTAACGAGATTAATCTGTGAAACGAGATAAATGAGTCTTACAATTTTTGTAGTGAGTCTGAGGTCGAACTAAATCGAAATCTTATAAGAACTCTTTAGATACTCACTTTTTAAATAACTATACCTCATAATGAGACCGTAAAATATGCAATACAATCATAAATGTAAAATTTTAGGTGAGCCTAAATGTTTGAGAGAGAATGACTGAGCAGGCCGTACAGATATAGTCACAATTTGCCTTTTTATTAACCTTCAGAATGTACCACATAGACTAAATAAACGCTAAACTGTACACAGATCTGTGAAACTACAGTATGTAAAACATCTTTTAGATATAAAGAGGTTAAGCATTTTAATGTAGAAATATTAAAAATAACTGAATAGGCCTACATTGATGAGAATAACACGCTTATAAATATGAAATAAACGAGGAATAATTCGAGGTGTGTGCTTGCTAAATAACAAGCACATATTACTAGCGAGGTGCACGGACATTTGTGTAATAAGGAATAATACTGATACATACACCATTTCTAGGCTATTTATTTGGTCCTTATTCATTATGTATTCTGTTAGAATCTATCATTTATTGTGTTTGCTTTCTTTCATTCTTTCACTTTTTTGTGTATTAAAATTTCTATCAAATATAAACAGACTATAAAAGATAATTAGACTAAAAAGGTAATAATTAAAGTATTTTTTCTCTCTCTCTCGATATATATATATATATGTGTGTCCAGAAAATCTCCAAAATGGTAACTTTACAGAAGAAGAAAAAACATACTTTACTTTTAATGTACGTCAATGGAACCAGACGTTTTTCTAAGTAATGTTGAGCCGTTTCTTTTCGTCTATTCATCATGAAATTAACACACAACGTAAAGAGCAACAGGCATTTTCAAATAATGCCAAAAACTGAAAAACGACAAAAATGGAGATACGAGGTTTTGTTCCGACAACAACATATATAGGAGAGGGTTAAAAGAGTTTTCTACACGGTTGACAGTCGTTACTTACAAGTAACCTAATTTTGTAATAACAGCATAATAAAAGCCAAAGAGAAAGGCTATTCGACTACTAAGTTTGTTAGGAATGTGGGCCTTTTAGTTATTACGAGAATTCGAGTGTATCTCAAATGTGCATCTGAGACATTATTTCGAGATAAATAAAAAATTGAAAAATAATAATAATAATAATCAAATTCCTACTCGCAAGCTTTGTTGTTGTTAATTTAATGTGATCATTTACATTCAACGTGCTGTAGGTTTTAATACATTTTTTTTTTTAATAATACACAGTTTTCTTGTGAAACCCACTGATTTTTCCCCCTAAAATGACGTAGCTCCTACGTTAGTTACGCAGCAGTACTGCGGTCAGGGCGAAGGCGGGGCTGTTTTGCATGTCACGTGACTGCGCATTAACAAATCAACAATTATCCTGGCTTTATTCTTTAGGGGTAACTAAAAAAGGTAGTAAGAATCGTTTGGGCGAGCTTCTTGGAAATGTGCGAGCCCAATCTTTTCAGTTCTGGCTATGTCGGTCCTCTTTTGAATTTTCCCTCTCCGGACTCCTTGCGTTTCTCAAACTTGCGGGGCAATGGAGCCCATCACTCCGCGCTCCCGCACATCTACGGCAGGAGAGAGGTGTGCTCGCTCCCGTGGACTTCCCCAAGCTCGTGCACAAGCCCGCCACAGAGCCGCGCCTTCAGCGGCTACTCTCAGCCGTTCCTCACCAACTCAGTGCCTGTGACCACCAGCACGCAAAACCACAGTAAGGGTCCGCTGGGGGACTCCAGTAAGTACTACTTCGAGGATGCAAACCACAAAGCTGAGGTGCCGGACAAAGAAACGACAGCTTTCGCCAGAGAACATGGACTCACGGCTCCTGCCGACTCTAGCAAATATGAGTTTTCAGGCTTGGACAGACGGTTGCAAATCACGGTGGCACAGGCTGAGCTGAACTCCTCTGACCAAGCAATAGCCGATGACACTAAACAGTCTGCACACACCACTGTCCCAGTTCAAGGCTTTTCGAGTGCGCAGAACACCAGAGCAGCCTTCTCTGATGGTACGCAGCTTCTTCTCTGACCTGTTATGGACCTGTTATGTCATATTATGTCACAAAATGCTCATTCGTTCCTGATACAGTAGACTTGGTGTGATGTTTATAGTGTTTAGTGCATTAGGTTGTTTTACTTGATTTGTACAGCTGGCTTGTTAAAAATATACACCAGCAATCATTAGGACGAGACTGAGAGCACGCTGCATGCATGTGGTTATTGAAAGAATGCAGGCTGACCATTCATTCTTACAAAATAAATAAATAAATAAATAAACAGTACACTCCAAAAAGTCAATTATTGTATCAACTTAATTCAATTACGCACACATTTCAATTCAATCAAACTGAGTAGAGTCAGTGCACACAGACTTTGTTACCTCAACATAAAGTTCAATCGTTGATGGAAAAAATTGAAACATTTCAGTACAATTTATCTGTATTTAACTGGAATGAAATTCTCTTTCGATCAAGACAAAAAGTTTTCGTATAATGCATTGTACTTTCATTTATTTTTGTCCTTTTTATGTAAACCAGTAACTCAAAGCCATCACGATGCATTTATTTAATGGCGACATATTTTCAGTTTGTAAACAAACCCGTTTTAGTGCATGTTCAGGGGTAGAGACCTTGAATACACAGTCTAGGTATAAACAACCATTGTTGTATTTGTTCTTTTTCTAGGAGTGCCGTGGTGTCCCGCACAAGTGAGAGTCAGAAAGAAGAGGAAACCTTACACGAAACCACAACTGGCTGAACTTGAGAAGGAATTCATGATGAACGAATTCATTAACCGGCAAAAACGGAAGGAACTATCAGACAGGCTGGACTTGAGTGATCAACAAGTCAAAATCTGGTTTCAGAATCGCAGGATGAAGAAGAAAAGACTGCTAATGCGCGAGCATGCCTTCACTATGTACTGAACAGTAAATATCAAGGCTCCCTTGCTGGTGACCTCTGTGCCCCAAGTCTTCCGTGTCTCACGCGCTCCTCACCTTGACAATGATTTACCCGAGCGGTTTACTTCAATGCATATGTGCTTTTTAACGCACTTTAGCTAGTCTGGAAAGCATGAATTTAAAAGCGGTCCACACTGTTGGACTTCTGGCGTAAATGTTGATTGGACACAGTTTACGTAAAAGCCATTCATTCAACTTCAATTCGAGATCTAACACTTTCGACTAACGTCGAGAAAACTCTGGTAGAATGTGTAGGGTTTGTGCGTGCTTTTTTATATACATAAACAAAAATGTGGCCTATTTATGAGTTGTAATGTATGTCTTGCATTCTAATAAACAGTTTGATTACTTGCACATGCTTTTTGGTGGATTTTGTGTTTAGTGCTGAAGTGAGTTTCAACTCATGTTCGTTTATGTCCACAGTTGGGCAATTTTCAGAAAATGTTCTGTATCAGGAGTTTTCACACAGCCTGCATAACCGTGTTTACCTTCTAGAGAATAAAGATGATCTGACCTGTTCTAAAAGCATTACGCGATGCAGGGATGCGGGTTGTCTTCAAACGCTTTTCTGTTTTAATAGAGTTTAATAGTGCATGTAATCGTTATATATTACCCCACTTTCTTGTCTATAGTTACTACGGTTTGTGCGACACTAATAATAATAATAATAAGAAGAAGAAGAAGAAGAAGAAGAAGAAGAATCGTTAATGTTTTATGTTTGTTTATTTGAGAAATTATAATGTAATTACAGAAACGTAGCTCGCTGTCGTCTGTGTACTAAAAGCTTCATTTAGGAATGTATAGTCATATATATATCCGTTTATCCATTTATAACAATTTCGGCTGTAACAAGTTTTTGAAAAGAATAACAGCTCACGGCTAATAAGGGGAAAATATTTATCTATTTATCTAATGAATGTGGTGTTTATGATAATTTAGTAGTGATATTTATTGTCTGTGTAAAATCCACTCCTACAATTAATATTATTAAAAAGTTTTGAACGTGGTCTGTAATGCGCTTTGGAACGAGACGCTTCGTCTGTTAGTTAATCGTATGTAGAACAAGGCTACATTTGAAGTGCGAATTTGTTTCAGATCATGTTTCAGTGTGAGATTATTATGGATTATTTGTTCAGTATAAGTGATTTTGTTGGGCCAGAAGGCTACACTAAATTATAATCATTATTTTTTATTATAATAATAACAGAACAACATAGCATGGCAGAATGTCTTCTATGGAATTGCTTATTAAAGTTAATATTCCTGCAGTTACAATGAAGATTACAGATTACACGAGAGTAGATTTTGGGACTGGCACAAAAATATTGGAATAAACTCGCCAAGCACACTGGGCCGCTATTTTTGAGTATTTTCGCAGAGTTTAAAAGTATATACAGATTTAGATCAACGACATTTATTTTGTTTGGTCGATCATGCATCACACCTATCTAAAACTTTTGTTTCTCTTAGCTTCATAGGCCAAAATGTTTATTTGTGCAACTGTTACAGCTTCAAGAAAAAACGAGCCTGCTGATGATATTATTACATGACGCAGCGAATTCGTGTATTGGTGAACACTGATGTGCGCATCGCTCCTCCAGTTTAGAAATGTTAGCATTGCGCAAATCTGACAGGACTAACGGATACTGTGAAACATGTTAAACATACACAGTAAATATTACCTGGCGCGTAAATTAAATGTAAAAAAGGAGTCTTTACTCCTTTCACTCGTCTTTCTAATAGGAGCAGAGAGAGAGAGAAAGAGAGAGAGAGAGAGTAAGAGAGTAAGAGAGAGAGAGAGAGACGCCGCCTGCTCCGCGCGCCAGATACGGGGGCGCCAAAACAAAGTTAAGGTCAAGTTAGTCTCTATTCTAGCACTAAAAATCCGTTGTCTCAAATACGCATCCACTTTAAATACACAACACGAAAAGCTTTAAAACGCGTACACTTTTATAGAAAAACGACCTACGTCTAGAAAAATGAATCATTAATTAAAAAATCTCGCAAAACAAGGCCAAACGCCTCCACCGGGTGGTTAGCTGTGTTTAAGAAAATAACAGGAATGTCTCGACCGCGGCGAAAATCATTTTAACTACGCTCGAATAAAGTGTATTAAAACTCGTTGCTTTTACTTAAACATTTTATCCACAGTAAATTGGACGGCTGGCCTTCAGATTACATTACAGTGAGTAAACAAGTGAGCAGTGCACTCATAGTCTGCGTACTCACACTTAACCCACCCAGCTGCAAAGAATCGCACAAATATGCACAAATGTACTGTGCAGAATTCGGTTAAACAATTACAGAAAAACTGAAGTAAAGCCACGTGCTTTAGTTTACGAAAGAACAAATATAACTGTGGCATTCAATACTTCAACCTACTCAGTGCATTACTGAGTAGCATATTTAAAATAGGATTGTTTTTGTATAAGCTAACACAGACACACAAAGAACGTGTCGCTGATTTGCATGCGTAATTACGCAGACATTTGGACGTTCTGTGACATTCAGAAACAATTCGTCTAATTCGTGTTTTAAAGCTCTGGTGGCTCTAGTGCAGCCGCTACCAGGTTCTTCCACTCAGCTTGCTCACAGGACATTTCAGCTAGAACGCATCCTTTTGTCTGAGCGGTGTCTGAGTAATAAACTGATTTGGCTGCTGACGGTTATTGGAGATTGCGAGCTGTGCATCGTCTCACACCACAGACGTTCAAAGCCAGAACAGTTGTTTTGTACTTGGCAGTGTGAATCCAGTGTCTCTCCCATTCCTGGATACTTTCTGCTTTTACGATGAAACGACCAACAAAACAGGCTCAGAACTGGAATTTGGATTAAGGCACATCGAGGCTACTCAAAGCTTGAAGTGAGTAAAAGTCATATTATTATTATTATTATTATTATTATTATTATTGTTATTATTATTATTATTATTACCATACGCTTTTGTTCGTATGTTAAACACTTCGGCGATAAAACACAACAGGCAAATTTAGATGAACGGCTCGGAGACAGCAGAATCGAGAGAAGTTTGCCCTGTAGCTAAAACAGGATTTTGCTCCAGTTAGAAAGCTTATGCATGCATGAATGCGCCACGTTATTCTAACCGTTAAAAAGTCTTTAGATCTCTCAAACGAGCTTTGTTTCTTTCTTCGGTCACTTTTCTATATTAACGCACTTTTTGAAACTGTTATGTAAAGATGATGCAAGAGAAAAGGAATGTTTTGGGGACTGCTGTAAAACCAGGGCTCCAGGTTTAACGAGGACCAAACAGAGTGCATAAAATTATCTTCGTTTGTGAGGTTAAAAAGCATAGAGGATAATCATGTAAATGTGTAGAGGGAATAAAAGTTAGCTGTTAGCGTTTATGCTGACTGGTGGACGACCCATAGCTCGTCAAATGTGAAGTGTGAGGGCTTGTGTGGAAAAAAATACATTCCTAAACATTACCGAATGGAACTTAACGTCGTTCATGAGCAACGTAATGCACTGACAAAAACGCCATTATATACGTTCTTTATTGCAACGGGCAGCGCATATATCAGGATCGAGGTCTCCGATGCAGTATTTCAGCGATTGTTTACTAATGCCTTGTTATGCACATGGGGAGAACGGGGGATCAACATGGGAGTTTCAAAAAATGCAGGCAACCAACCAATAACCTGTGGTGTGCGTTTACCTCTGAGCTGCTCCAGCCCGTTCTTAATGACTGATATTGATATATGGTAATTTCTTTACTGGATCACATGACACAATTACCTCAAGAATCGATCAAGATGAATTGCACGTCAGCCTACGTTTCCGATTTTTTCTCCCTCCCGGGTCCTGTCCATGCGCCTATGGTGCAATAGATGGACAAAGTTTAACACAGTCAGGCTGCTTATTGCTGCTCTCTAACGCCAAACCGAGATATGACGGACTACGATGATCGCAGCAGCTGCGCGTCTAATATGTATTTACCCAACTGCGCGTACTACGTTTCGGCGCCGGATTTCTCGTCGGTGTCGTCGTTTTTACCCCAGACCACTTCGTGCCAGGTCAATTTCCCCTATTCTTCCAACATAGCTCAAGTCCAACCTGTTCGAGAAGTGGCTTTCAGGGACTACGGACTGGACCACCCGAGCAAATGGCATTACAGGGGCAATTACGCTTCCTACTACTCGACGGACGAGATAATGCACCGAGATCTTCTCCAGTCATCGAACAGGGCGGAAATGATATTCAAAAACGACTCCGTGTACGGCCACCACGGCGGCTCGAACCCCGCGTGCAGCTTTTTCACCGGCGTCGGCAGGAACGGAGTACTCCCCCAAGGATTTGATCAGTTTTTCGAAACGATTAATTGTGAGAAGCCTAGCCCTGAGCATTCCAAACAAAAGACGGAGTCCGGCGTCCCCGGAGATGCCGCATGTCATAAAGTGTCTCCAGACAGCGCGGAGCAGGGGAAACGAGACCCAGCCGAGACCACGGAGGAGGAAAGCTCACTTTCAACTTGCGGAGAGGACAAGAGCAACGGCCCAAGTAGGTACACGCACTGTAACGAAGGCGCTTAAAGCCGCTCCGGTTCGGTTTTTACGTGCAGCTTTATAAGCATGCAAAGGGTTTTATATACCCAATAAGATTTGCTTTGCCCTAGTAAAAATATATTTACGATGGGAAAGCTGTTCTGGTGGGCTACAATAGCCATAGCAGCGACCCTATGCATGTTTTTAAACTGATCGGAAGTTGATCGATGTACAGAATGTTAGTGTACAAAGGCACCTTAACCATCTGTAGGGCTGGAGAACTTTCAGCCAAACTCGTGTTTATTTCCAGACTGCTGTATTTGCTTCAGGAGTGTGAAAGAGTGCCGTGATAGATTTTAATATTGAACAGCAAGATTTTCAGAACCTAGACTCGTACAAGAAGTGCTTGCATGCGCTTGCGTTTGCGTGCGCGCGTGTACATGCGTGTTGTGTCAGTGCAGTGTGTGTGTGTGTGTGTGTGTGTGTGTGTGTGTGAGACTTTTTTTTTGCTTCTTGTCAGTTTGAATGTGTACATCTCATATAAGTGGTTTAATCGCTGTAAGAAAAGTTCTGATGAGCTGTAAGCTTGCTTTCATATTTATTGCTTTGTTAAGCTCATTGCAGAAACCATTCAGAATGTATTTCATGTCAGCCACCTTGACAAACAAACTTTAGCACAGTTGCATGTGAGCTGCATTGTTAATGTAACCCAGCTACGTTTCTCTTTGTAGGTGCAAAGTCCAGAAAAAAGAGGTGCCCGTATTCAAAATACCAGATCCGAGAACTTGAACGAGAATTCTTTTTCAACGTGTACATAAATAAAGAGAAACGCCTACAACTGTCAAGAATGCTAAACCTTACAGACCGACAAGTGAAGATTTGGTTCCAGAACAGAAGGATGAAAGAGAAAAAGCTCAACCGAGATCGTCTCCAGTACTTCACTGGAAACCCTTTATTCTGAAATCATGACATTGTCCACTTTGGCAGACCACGTTCACGGTTCCTATGGTGTCACTGTTATGAGCGTTATTGGGACATTATGCATTCAACCGAAAAAGACACGCAAGTTAAACAAAAAAATAAAACATTTAAAAAATCTTCATAGGTCTGATGTATATTTTTAACTATGCAAAGCTTTTGGTAAAAGAACAATGAACTCTTACCTCAGTGAAGATTGTTTATTTAAGGCGGATGGAAAGTGACATTCTACAACAGAAGGGTACCTCGACAATCTTTTCATACTTTGCTGTTTTAACAGTGAACGCCACTGAAATGTTACCGCATTGTATATCTATTTATTTATTGCAATTTACATGGTACATTGAAGGCTACATAAGTCACATCCATTGCAGTAAGCAGCAAATAATTTTGATTACAGTATTCAGTACGTTGTACGTATAATTTCCATTATAGTAGAATTGTGTATGCATTTGTTTGATAGCAGCATGTGATGTATTGGTGTATTAAATAAACCTAAATACTACACATTTTTCTTTGAAGGTTTGCCTTACATTTTTTAAGAAATAGTGTTTATCTTTGTGAGGTATGAATGTGTACGCGGACGTTGATTCGTTTATAGAAAAAATAGTAATAGCATAAAAGCTAAAAATGAATATAAAGTATTTGTGAAATACTTTACATTCCTTTATATTAAAAATGCTATAATACTGTAGTTTTGGCACGCCTCTAGCGCAAGGAGATCAAATCTGGAAGTAGAATAGGAAACGCGTGAAAGTAGGCCTAACTAACGCCCGACGCACCAAAGGCTTTTTAGACTTTTTTGTTCTTTTACACTAAGGGGTGTTTACCAAACCTTGAACTGCGTCTAGACAGTTCAATAAAGTGTAGCTGTAAAGGTCTAAATTGGGGGCTATTGTACTGTCTGGCCAGTCCAAACGCAACTTTGGCCCTAAAAGCTGCCCATGGTGCAGATGTTCTTCCCTAGAATGGGATGTGGATGTGCACAATCCAGAGAAAGAGAAATAGAGAGAGAGAGCCAGGGAGAGAGTGTGTGTGTGTGAGAGAGAGCACCATTCTGAAAAATAAAAATAATAATCAATTACGCAGTGGATAACGAGAACACTGGATTACATATTTGGACACAAGCCATCGCGTAGTTTCCGTCCAAGGTAAGAGTAGAATATGGACAGAAATGGTCTCGCTTGCTGTGCGTTGAAAAATGTGTCTAGAAATCTGAAAATCGCATTTGAACTTCCGTAAAGTCAAGGTCGTCACCCTTCACCTTTTTGAATAAGTATAGGCGCCTTTTCGCGGCTCTGTTTGAGAAACTGCGCCCTCTGAGAGATGCCGCACTGCAGCAGGATCCAACATGGCTGCGCCGCACCGCCTTTCCCAACACTGAAATCAGGCGCTTTCCTCACACTGCTACGGCCTGCGAGTCCCACACTGCAACCTGTAATGATCACCAGCCTGAAGGACGACTGCGGCCCAGTGATCGAAAATAGAGTAGCTAAGCCTCTTTAACAGCAGCTTTCCTTCTACACAGTCTACAGTGACTAACTGAGTGAATAACTCGCCTTTGTGTCCTTTGTGTTCGCCTCCGTGAACTAAAACTACAGACCTAGTCAGATAAGGGTTTCTGTTACAAGCCAAAACAGTGCTGAATACAGAGCAGAGTCCCTGCACAGTCCAGCTATCCAGATGTCTTCTTGTAGGGAATATTTAAGCTGCAATCTTAAAAAAGAAAAATAGTGGCAACTAAACGCAACAAAGAACGCGCATATATATCGAAACGTTTTACTGGAGTTACGATTATTTTAATATTCAAATTCAGTAATATTTTTTTCAGGAATTCCAAATCGTGTTGACAAATTTCCCTTCCCTCAATCATCACTTGTATTTACATGGTGCTGAATATTTGACCAAAAATATCCAAGTCGAATTAATCAAACTGACACATACGTGTATTTATGGCACGATCTAAAAATGGTGCTTTAAACTGACTTGATTAAATGTGTTAAGTGATTGTACGTGAATAAAACATATTACATGAACACAATAACTTCCCAAACAAGTGAACTTAAATAAAGCAACTGGTAGCATATTTTCTTTGCGTGCAACCACTTATAACCACTTACACAATAAAACCGTCAACACTTTTTGTCAGTGCATGATGGAAAATGATGATCCCATCTCTATTTCTTGTTAATCTTTCAGAGCGCAGTGATTTATGTAAATGTACATTCGAACAAAGGCTGTTCATGCTGATTGTGTCCATATTTTTCTAATCAGCCTATTAAACACGTGGTAAAAATGTTATTTCTAAACAAACTTCCCACGTTTACGAGAAAATAATTCTTAGAGCAAATGATGAACATATTTTGAGATAATTGCATCATGCAAACCCCCAGCCACTGTCATACTGTTTGCATTTGTATAGACAGCTGTAAGAGCTTTGTTGTGTTCTTTGCAGCTTCTGTAGGTTGTTAGTGCGGTTTGCCCCCACAAGGGGGCAGACTTACAGCAGCGTTTGAGCTTTTGCTGCAATGAAATTCACGTGTTTGGTGTCTAACAACAATGACTGTGATCTTGAGGGAATGTACTTAAATCCTTACAAGCTATGTCCTCTGGAGTTTTTAAAATACCTTTAAAGGATTTCAGGAAATAAACAGATGTCTATCGTACTTCTAGCAAAACTCTGTAAGCTTTCAAGCTAGTTGTTAGTAGTTGAGTGGGCTCTGCGTGTCGCTTGGGTAAGTCTGCGTGTAAAAACATTGGTAGAAATGAATGTAGTTCTCAAGTGGTCAATAAGGGTTAATTGCATTTTGGTTGAACGTCATGCAACTTCGAAAATGAATAAGGAACACGTCCACGTCAGCAGATTGCTCTAACTGTCTGTGTACTTTGGTCAGAGTAAATAACGGCAAGACATATGAAATACTGAGTTAGTACTATTTGGATGATTATAATTCGGTTAAGAAGCAAGATTCTGTACAGCAGATATTCAGATACTGACTCTCACGTTTGGTTGACTTAAAAATTGGTTTAGTATAGATGCAATTATACAGGCCTATAGCCAAAAGTCGACACGCATTTAAACAGGTTTTTACATTTTTAAATCATTTTAAAATCTCTTTTTATTTCAGATTGTCCACCGAATCAGCGGTTTACTAGTGCTCTGCATATGGCAAATGCATGCAGGAGTTTAACGCAAAAGCTATACTACTTATTGGTTACGAATAATTTAATCTTGGTTTATTCTTAAATGAAAAGGTGTAATTGTGTGCGCGTGTCTTGTCTAAAAATCAGTGTATCAGTTTATTTGGAATAGCAAAAGATTTTTTAAAGTCAACACAGCAATCGACTCCACATTAAATGTTCATAGGCCAGTCTACCTTAGATAAAATAATAGATATATGATTAGTATACTACTATATTTTTATTAATATATCAGAGGAACAGAAATCTGTACACACACACACACACACACACACACACACATATATATATATATATATATATATATATATATATATATATATATGTATATATATATATATACATGTATGTATATATATATATATATAAATATATATATACATGTATATATATATATATATAGATGTATATATATACACATTGCTGTGATGACTTTAAAAAATCTTTTATATATATATATATATATATATATATATATATATATATATATGTACTATATTATATGATGTAATCTTTATTATCAGACAAACGCAATAAAAAAACAATTTTCTAAATTTGTGAATATTTTCTGGACTGAGCTCCTTTTGCTGTCTACTCTCTTGTCTAAGACTAGAGGCTCGGCTTTAGATGACGACGTATGATCAACACTCGTTATTAAAAACTGTATATTATCACATTTGCCATATACATGCGCCTATTGTTATGAAAATCATGATTATAACCAACATACAACGGCTATCTTTGAAAAAGTGTTTTAGATGCTTTTTTGCTCTTTGGTCAGATGTATAGATGACCGATGGCAGAACGTCGTTTATTAAAATGTATTTAAATGAAAATTGCAGAATGGGCCGCAAACACAATTTCAGTAAATTCCAAAAAAATAAATAAATGAATAAACAAATATTTATCCAATGTAATTATGGGATTTTTTATTCTTGTGCAAACGCTTGGCTTAAGCTTTTTTTGTGTTTGAACATGCATCACATTGTTATCACACATAAAAGACAGTGAACGCATCTGCTACATTAATAGATGAAAAATGTAAAAAAAAAAAAATTCTAAACAATCACACTCACTTAAACCAAAATAAACCAGTGACCAAATCCTGACACAACATGAATATAAACGTTACTGCACGTAAATGTAAAGTCATATTCAATGTACATTCAAAATGACGTTAGCAGTGTCAGCAGTAATTTGGATTATTTTGTGTGTTTCTCGTTCATGAGACAAACTCTTATAGAAAAACGAAAAACTGGTTTTAGGTTAAACACTAAAGTATTCTGTTTAAACGCTGTGTTTTTGTTATTGTTGATGTTTTTTTTTCCTTTCACAAAAATAATAATCATTTTCTTTGTGAAAGGCTTTTAACCAGTCATATATAACCACAAAAGACTCCTGGAGAGAGGACGTTACTACAAAGCGTTACATCGCATGTGTCTTGAACATATGAATGAGTAAATTTACTCAGGTCTGGTATATACGTCAACCATAAAACAATGCATATAACAAAAAAAATGCTATAGATAAAGTAACAAAGTACAAAACATTGTAGACCAGGACTAGTGTACATTTTAATGAATATACTGTTCTGCAACTCGGTCTGCACGTTTTCTTCATGGGAAAACACAGTGCTGTCAAGACCGTATCTGCAGCACGCTTCTTTTCCACTGAAAGAGCAGCCTACCATCCCCTGCGTCTTATGAAATATACTTCTAAATGCTCTGTATGGTTGAAATACCTCTGGAGAGATTTCTCATCTTGAACTTGAATTGGATTTTCAAGTCAACAAAAGAGGTATGTTTAAGGGGACAGTTTACTTTTGTTGTCCTAACAGTCAGTGAAGCGGCATCTCTCTTCACCAAGTCTTGGCATTTTCCTTTATTGTTTATATCAAACTGAAAGAGCTGTTTAAATACCCTCAGCCTTTTGTCTGTCTTGGAACCAATTTCAAGTCCGCGTTCTAGGTGTCGCTGTTGACCACGTCCGAGGCTCCAAATCATGTGTCAGCGCGCACACGTGACGGGGAAGAGCCTGCGTCTCAAGGCCATTTTCAAATTTCATTGGTGAGATTGTCATGTGGTTGCAGAGAGACCCTCTGGGTTACGCGGGGATTGTTTTGCTAGATATGTCAGCTTACAAAGGACATCTCTCTCTTCTTTAAAACCTCTCCAAAATGTCCTTTCCCAACAGCTCTCCTTCTGCTAACACGTTTTTGGTAGACTCTCTGATTGGTGCGTGCAGAACAGACAGTTTCTATTCCAGCAGCAACATGTATATGCCATCCAGTGCAGAATTGGGAAGTTATGGAATGCAAACCTGTGGACTCCTGCCGTCTCTTGGCAAACGGGGGGAAGTAAACCACCAAAATATGGGCATGAACGTCCACTCGTACATACCTCAGATTGATAACTGGGCAGATCCGAGCAGGTCCTGCCGAATAGAGCAAGCGTCTAACCAGATGCCCACTTGCACGTTTTCACAAAACATAAAAGAGGAGAGCAACTGCTGCATGTACTCCGACAAGAGAGCAAAGGTCAGCTCGTCCGAGATGCCCGCGTACTCAAATCTGATCTCCGAGCCGTGCAGTAGCGTTGAAGGTCCGGAGATTCCGGTCCCGGGTTACTTCAGACTCAGCCAAACTTACACGACGGCGAAAAGTCAGGACTACAGCCACGAGACGGCCAGTCCAAACACGTTGATGCAGTTGAACCGGCTGACTCCCAAACCACAATCTACGCCTTTCGTCGAGGTGGAGAAGAAACTGGCGGAGATTCCGCGCGAGCAGGAGCCGAGCCCCCCGACCGCAGCGCGAAGCCCCGAGCCCAAGGCGAGCTCTCAAGAGGAGAAGAACTGCTCTACTGAGGCGTCTGTCTCCAGCCCGGAATTGCCACACAAGGAAGCGAAAGGTGGGTACAATAAAAGGATTAATCGCGTCGCGGTGTAATACGAACGCTCCAGCATCATAAAACCCAATATAAAACACAAACAACCCGAAAGTCGTAATGTTTAATGAGAGGCTTACTCAGGTTGCAGTAAAAGACTTTACAGGAAACGGCGCCGCGCGCTCACATAAAATAGCCTCAGCTACCTTTTGTTACCGGCTGCTTTAAAGCTTTTTTTCCTCTTTGGGCAGTGTGTAGAGCCGGCGAAACCGGGTTTGTTGTTTTTTTTTTTCCCAAACACAACCACATGCATTTTTATTTGAAATGCCTCTCAGTGATTTGAGAGTGGCTAGAGGGAATCTTTTAAAGATGCTGGTTTATGAATAGGTGTAACCTAAATGTCAAGCATTTAAAATGATCATAATTTCATTTGGTAATCAAATGTGAACACGATAAAACAGGTTTTCTATTTTTATGTCAGCTTTAAGCTTTTTTCCATTATAAAACATGCAGCACCTTTTATTCATTTTTAATATTTGCTATAGAAAACAATAGCCCTTAAATTCAGACACTACTATGAGCCGACCTTTTGTATTAGTCCTAATTGCCCATACAATGACAATAACAATAATAATTGTTATTCTTATTACATGTTTATATGTGACCTCATGCAATCCACCCCAGGCTTGGGGAATTTGTATGATTTTTTTTCTGCAGTATGGGTGTGCACCAAGACACAGGACAACAGAAAAGCCATCCTGAGTAATGTGTCTGCATCTGTTTGTTTTCCAGAGTGCAAAACAGATACACCGACCAGCAACTGGCTGACTGCGAAGAGCGGTAGGAAAAAGAGATGCCCGTATACAAAACACCAGACCTTGGAGTTAGAAAAGGAGTTTTTATTTAACATGTACCTGACTCGAGAGCGCCGTCTAGAGATCAGCAAAAGCGTCAACCTCACCGACAGACAAGTGAAGATCTGGTTCCAAAACCGCAGGATGAAGCTCAAGAAGATGAGCAGAGAAAACCGAATCCGGGAACTTACCTCAAACCTCACTTTCTCCTGAGCATGCAAACAAGTGCATCCCCCCAGCCACCCAGAAAAAAAATCACGCTCTGCCTCTTTCTGTTTCTGTTCAAAATAGTTTAAAAATGATGCTGTCGAACATGAACATGGGACGTTGTCTTATTTCACCTTCACATACTGTGATTGTTGCTACGTAAAAAATAGTGTTTTTTAAATTCTATTTACTTGATGGTATTCAAGTGACATTATTAAAGTTATGCATTGTGTATAGCCTCTGTTCCACAGGGTATGAAGTGGTCTTAACTTATGAAACTTAAAGAAACACAAAGTCGTTGTGTGTTTGTTTTCATTGAGGACAAAAGATAACGCCGTACGGGACAGCAAGCACTGAAATCCACGGGAAACATGACTTTGGACCTGAAAGCACACGTACTGTTTCTAAGCGAAGCCTGTCCGATCTCCTCCGGCTGAACTTGTACATTTATGTGAAATCTCGCCGTATAAAGGGTTCTGTATAGTAAATGTGAAATCTGTTACCATATGTACCTCCAGTGCATGTTTGTGGCATGTATCCTGTAATAAATAGACTGTCAAAATATCTGTTTATGTGACGTAAACGGTGTTTCCTTTACCGCTCTATAAACAAAACCGCAGACCGTGAAATGTTAATGTGCTGCGTTAATGTTTTTTTCCCGAGTAAAATGGTCAAGTCCATCCTTAATTATTACCCTTAATACCCTTAATATTTGGTTACTTCAGGAACACGCAATAAAAATCGAGTCTGTGGTTAATCGGTTATCCACTGGTTTAGTAAATAACGCGGAATTACATTGATTTGTAATATAATCTAAGGAAACACTCGACTTCCAAACACCTGACATTGCTGCAGTAAACCGCATGTAATAGTTTGCATCAAATGTTACGAACGAATAGTAAAATAAGATAAAGAGGCGAACGCTTTCTGTTGGCGCATCTACGCATCACTTCTCAGCTCCACAGAATATTAGTTTTAAGTTAATAACCTTTTTATTTTATCTATTCATATTCATTTCAAATCCACTTCATTACAGTTACAACGAGTTAATAATATGTGTTACAATTGGAAAACAGATTTATTTATTTATTCTAGTCCACAATATTTCAAAACTTCTGGAATTTTGAACAATGGATAGGAAAGCTAGTTAGGATTAACGTAAGAAACACTAATAAGCTGTTTATTTCGCATGCAAAAGTGTCTACCATTGTACCACAGACACAAACTAGCTCAAAGATGTTGGCAGCGTGTGAGTGGAAATGACTAAGATAGTCCATATCACGCTCGATCTCAATATGAGGAACTACAAGCGTAATAAACAAGGTGTGTTCACACAGGTCCAACACTGGTGCAGCAGGGATTTCTAAATCACTTCATTTTTAAAAAAAGATCAATATCCTTCCCTTATTTTTGACTCGGGTTCACGTATAATATGTCTGAATCTCTTTCTCACACACACTTACACGTACACTGTAACTGCCCATGTAGTGGTCTCAGCCCCTTTTTTACAAAAAGATGAAAAAAGTCCTCATAGTATGGTTAAATAAAACGACCCCCTCAGTCAGCCACTACTTTTGTGATTCTGTGTGGGTAAAAGTTCTTCTGACAGAAGAAATCTGACAGATGCATAATTCAGTAATTCATCTGAATAAGACACGCTTTGCAATAATAAAATCATCACTGACAAAGAAAGCGCTCACAGATTACTGTTAGGAATCAAATTCACATCCGCCAGCCTGCGGGAATTCTGAAAGGTGTTCAAAACTCAGACCACGTGAAGGGCGATGATAGACCGAATTTTTTATTATTATTTTTATTCCATTAAATACAGTCATAGACACATATTCTACTTTGCAACGCACAGGGTCCGTTTTATTAAGGGCACATTAATGCACAATCAAATGCACCTCATAAAGTTTTTATTGATAGACATAAAAACATTATGGCTTTCTTCTCAATAAATACAATCGGTATACAAATATGACTTCCTGTGTCAAACTTACAAGACCACCTTTACAAATATGAGCCCTCTGGACAAAAGAAACACAGACAGTTTATAAAATATGAGAATGCGCGAGGAAACGGGCTTCGTTATTTTACAGCATGTTATTGCATTTATTTTACGAGGGCTTAAAACTCAGTACTCTATAAAATAGCCTGCTTTACAAGGCCAGAGTATATGACATATCTCATGACGAGATCTTGTAAGATTTTACACTCAGCTGGAATAATCTGTCATGCAGGCATCAATGCTGCGAACAGAAAATGAAAAAGGTCGAAGTATTAATCTAGTTTTGTTCAAAAATAAAAATGAAAAATAAAAAAAATAGTCCGGAGTCGCCTCCGTTTGAACAGTGCAATAAAACACCAATATTTTCAGCTTAAAGTGCCATTATATGAACTTTCTTCTAAAAAAATACTGAATTTTATGATTAGACTAGTGAATGAGACAAAATCAAACATACCGTTATCAGCGGATTGATTTACTCTCTGTATTGGTAAATATGATCACGTGATTCATGTAACCAATCACTGAAGATGAAGCCAGCAAAAATACTATGATTGTTCGGAGGCAAGGTTTCCGTAACAGTGTAACCTTTTATATGGCTACGAAGGCATCCAAAAATGACGACCAGTTCAACTCTTAGCAATTATTATGTGGACTCTATAATGGGACACGAGGCGGAAGACGTGTACGGAACGCGTTACGTCCAGGGCTCGCACTCCGTGTCCGCCAGGCCGTCAGGTGTTGGGGAAAATGCTGATTTCTCCTCCTGCAGCTTTGCTCCCAAGACAGCCGTGTTTCCCACGTCCTGGTCCTCGGTCCACCCGCCGTCCACGGCCACAGTCTCCGGCATTTACCACCCCTACGTCCACCAGTCGCACATCGCCTGCACAGACAGCAGATACGTGCGCTCCTGGGTCGATCCAATCTCCAGCCATGTCTCGTTTTCCGGTTTCCACGCGAGCAGTCGGCCGTGCGGGACAAAGGCTGAAAGTTTGCCGTCGAAAAGGACCGAGAGCTCGATGTTCGAGGCGGAGGCTCCGGGAGCCCCCGACTACAGCAGCGGCGCCGCGTCCGAGTGCGCGGAGAAAGCCAGCAAAGAAACCGCTGGCAATGATATTGCGAGTCAAAGCGAGCCCAAAGACGAGAAACAACAACAACTTGACCCAAGTAAGTAAAAGAAATTGCTCCGTGATTTACAACCGTCAGAACTGTACGACCAGGGTGTGTAAAGCTGGAGGTTTTACTAACCAATAAAAGTGTCTGAACTCTTACCACGGGCCCAAAGAGATGTATACGGCTGTAAACCGGGAATTTAAAACAAACGCGTCCACATCATTAATGGTGACCATTGCTAATCCCTTAGAAAGGTCAGTAGAAATAATAACCATAAGAGAATAATAATGTTAATAATAAAACCAATGATATCGCGCGCGGGGTATTTTTGTTTACGTGTTTTGTTTGCTTTTGTGACCTTGTGCATTTACTGGCTTCTTCCTCATTCGCAGGCAACCCTGCAGCAAACTGGATCCATGCACGTTCAACGAGAAAGAAACGCTGTCCCTACACAAAATACCAGACTCTGGAACTGGAGAAGGAATTCCTTTACAACATGTATTTGACGAGAGATCGCCGTTACGAAGTTGCACGAATTCTGAATTTGACCGAGAGGCAGGTTAAAATCTGGTTCCAGAACAGAAGAATGAAAATGAAGAAGATGAACAGGGAGAGGGGCAGTAAGGACCCTCAGTGAACAACAATGTGTGCGAGCTGCTCGCCTTGCTAAGTGTCCTCTCTGTATATGTGTAATATGTTCTGTTTAGATCCAGGATATTGGGGCTTTTTTGTGTGTATTTTTGTCAAAGTAGCTCATAAAAGTACATTGAGTGATCTTAGACTGGAGGCGTAGCCTATAACGAGTCTTAAAATGATTCTAATTTGTGTGTTCTTGAAACAATTGTTCAGGATTATTTCGGTCCAGAGCATTTTACTCCTTCAGCAACTGTGCACGCGATAATCATGTTAGATGCAATTTAGACATTTGGCGGTAAAAGCCTAATTCATCTGAACAGTGCAGAGGGCGCTGAGGAAGGAGAAGTATTGGCTGTATTGGAGCGTAGAGGCTGGAGAACAAAACACTCACCACACTTGTGCACATCGTACATATAGTATTAATTAAGCAGGCCACGCTGCCTTTGGGCCTGGCTTAACTCTTGAAATTTGAAGTCAATTTTATAGGCTTATCAGGTTGCTGTTAGAATTATTTAGGGTCTAAATGTCGTTGGGTAATACTCAAAGATACAGGGCCCGGTGTTCTTAGCATCAAATTTAGGTCTTTGTTCTCAGACATTAAGATTTTTTTTTTTTGGAACACTACATGGCATCATAAATGCATTTATCAATTACTACGAAAGGCCAGTTCTATTTTAAAATGGTAAAAAAAAACAATCGGCTGCTTACGTTTGTTTTCTTTTGTTCTTTTTTTCCCATAACAGTGTTAACTGTATTGTAAAAGTCTGAATTAACAGTAAAATAATAACTTTTTATAACATGTAATCTTCTAGTTGGAGAACTAAGGTAATTTTTTTTTATTATTATTAGTATGTTTAGTAACCTGCTGTTTTTTAAAATCCCTCTGGGCGAGGTTGCCAAAAACTACAAATATCTACATTTTTTTAAAACAGCTATTTGGTCGTTGCGCCTGACTGCACACTTTTGAAGTCCCTCTCATGCAAAATTAAAACAGCAAATTAAAGAAAGTTGTAAAAAAAACGAACATCCACCTATTTAGTTTAACTTTGCAAAGAAATTTCAGTTTATGTTGAGAACAAGATAAAAGAGAAGTTTATTGTTAGGGGATAATAAACTATTCATTATTGAGAATTTTGTGTTGTAGAGAGCCCTCATTTATTTTAAACTTACTTTAGAATTGCTTTAAAGCAGGAAGAATCCGGGTCCAATAAAGCCATAGGCCTGGCTAGACGTCTGGTCTAAATGAGTTTATGGTCTAAGACAGTAATTGCACTCTGCTTTGAAAACATTCGAGTAGGGTGTTTGTGTCTGTTGCTGACAAACAAAAATGCAGACACTTTTCTACGGGGTGTCTGGTCGATAAATTGTCTGTCGGTGAGACAGAAAAGAAATCGACCTCCAACACACGGAAAGTCACGTTTATTCACCAAATGCATTTCCACTCAGAGGCGGCGACACTTAACTTTGACTGTCGCTTCAAATTCCAGTTTCTTATTAATTAATCTAATTGTTGTGAGCACCCATTTGTAGCACAGGGTTTAATACATAAACATAGTACACATACCCATTCATCAAAGCAGTAACAATGCATTTGTTGCATACATTTTTTAACAAGCATATTGCTGACATTGCACTTGAATCAATACAATTTATGCTGCAGTTCTAAGTTTCTGAGTCTGTATTTACAAATCTACTGCAATAATAATAATAATGTATTTGTAATTAAATTGATCAATTAATGAAAGGTGGAAACAAGGTGTGCATTGTTACCGCTAGAGGGCAATCTAGATCTTTGGAAATGGAGGCTACTGTCCCTATTGCGTGTTTCATGGCAAACAAGCATGCTTCAAGTTGCTATTTAAACAACCTTATTGTGTGGGTGAAGTACAAATATTTGGTTGACAAATACAATCCACCTGTTTATTAATCTGTTCCTTGCAATCCACTACAGCAAAACGCATATGAGCAAGCTAAAACGCAATCATTAGTGGGTGTTAAACCGCTGTTCGGGACACTGAGAATAGTGTCTGTTCTGAGTTACGTAATGATTATGATGGTATTTCACGGTGGATCTAAATAAATAACTAGGCCAGTAATAGCGCACAGAATTAAACGCCATTGCAGCGGCAATGCGGCTAGATAGATAGATAGATAGATAGATAGATATCCTCTACACAACATACGGGATCTCTGTGGCATATCGATCATCTTGCAAAGTCTTCATTTATTTGTAACACGTTTGTGTTTGAGCATGACCGTGGTAATTCAGCAAACACATGGTCAAGTTTTCTTCCTTAATTTTCCTTTAATTCGTTAAATATAGCAATAACAACACAAATGGATGAATAGCCATTAAATAAAAACATGTCACAAATACCCAAAGCGTCGGCCTTTTGACAAAGTCCCCACCACTGGACACTGAGCTGGCTACCTCTGACAGTGAAACTGGATGGCTACGAAACTTTCTGCTGTCGCAATAAGCTAATTAGTTATTTCAGACTAGGTTAATGTTGCTAGTATAATTCATGCCAAATATGTCTTCAAATGCAAAAGGTTTTGTTGCATACCAATACAAAGTGAAGTCCAGGTTTTCTGTGTTGCTGAGGCCTAGAGCTACTGCTGTATAATTCATATTTATTCGATGGAAAAGAATTTCATAGTAAAGCTTTGTGAAATATTGTATTGATTTGCATTGCATTAGTGATTAGATTTAACCATAAGCGGCCAATCAGTTTACCAATATATCACTCCTTTTGTGAAACCCATTAATGTCCATTTTACATTTTCATTTGGTCAAAATGTTCTTTGAGCTTGCCTAAGCACTAAAAAAAATAATCAATCCGATCAAACCATATGGATAAAAGTGTTTTTTGCATAATTAAATGTAATCCTTTGGTCACCCGAGTCTATTGATTTTTAACACAAAAAAAGAGAATAAAAAACATTTCAACCTGGAAATTACATGTACTAAATAAATAAAAATGAACAAATAAATTAAAATAAAAAATGCTCACCATTCAAGGCATAATTACAAAATGTGTAGTTCTGTGTGGTTTATTCTTATCATAATAAACATTCTAAATATTTTTTTGTTGTTGATGGTGGGTTTTTTTGTTGTTGTTGTTTTTGTTGTGTTTGTTTTTTTTTGGCCATGAATGGGTTTATTAATAGCTGTTTTTCTGCTAAGAAAAATATAAGCATTTCGGAATTTTGCAAATATATTTAATTCAGATGAGATTAGAGAGAGATACATATAGCCACTAAAGACCAGCCTAATCTGGGGCGACTAAAACCTTTTAAAGCAAAATCTCCTCCACATTCGCTTAAAGCTGTCAGTGCAACTGTAGGAGAGCCCCGCCCGGCCGGCCATGCCCCCATCCTCTGATCCCGCTCTTAGAGAAAATGTGTTTTGAGGTGTGCTTGAGTGCTGTAATTGTGCGCAATTGCTCCCCTGACCGCGGGCACCGAGTTGCGCAAATGCGCACCAACTGCTCGGCTCAGAGTAACGACACTCTTCCATCACAGTCTGTTCCTCTGACATCCATAAGGAGCGGTGTGACAGTACAAATGAGTTCCTATTTTGTCAACTGCTCTCAGCGCGCGCTGTGCGATGCAGTTTCCTCCTGTGGGACTGTGTTTTTTTCAGTGAGATGAGATCGCTTGTGCACCGCGATGGCGCTGGGCACCTCTGTCCGTTCCCAGCAGCGCAGGAATCTTATCTTACGAGGCAGGTCTCGGCACAGGGTGCGAGTTATCAGCCGAGTCCGTGTGGAATTAGGTGCCACAGCCAGCGCCCTAAATTTTTTACGGATACGATAAGTTAAAAAGACAGCAGCTCTTTACGGCACGGCGAGAGGCCGGCCTGCTACAATACCCCGACTGTAAATCGTCCGGTGGCGATACTGGCACAGCACCAGCACGCCTAAATCAGCGCACACCTCCGTCTCACACTCGGTCCGCTGCGTGAGAGCTCAAGGTTGGTTGTCATTCAATCTGCTTTCAGATCACGCACGGGCCTCTGCAGCTCGCCCTGTTTTTGCAGATAGCGGGGCATCGCGCGTTCAGTGTGAGCAGGCCTGCGAGCAGACCTTTCATCCCTTCCAAAATACCACCGCCGTTTGGAGTGGGATACTTTGCATACTGTTTTGTGAAATATGAACAGACAGGAATAGACAGGATAGAATTGGAACCGAGCACATTGTTTTTGTTTCCTCAGAGCCGTGCGGAGGAAGCAGAACCAGGCAGACTTGCCGGCCCCGGCAACTGAAGAGGGAATTTAGGCTCAGATTCTCTCTTTTTTCCAGTCTGGAGGAAAAAAGAATAATAATAGCAAAGGAGAAGGTTTCTTTCTCACACACAAAGCCGGACCTGCGCCCAGCAGCGGCGGTAGCAGCTCCAGTGAAAATCGAGAAGGCGAACGGAATTGCTTTAAAAACCGAACACCCACAATTTCGCAGGAATGAAAGATTTGCAACCACAAAAAATAAAACTCTCCGCCACCACTCTATCCGTTCTTCCTCCACAGTTTCAGTCTCTAAAATTCCTGTTGGTATTTGCATTATTTTAAAATCCACACGCTCCCAAATCCAGGCCATATTCGATTATTTACGTTAGTAATGTCATTTCATCATTTCACATGTGAAGATTAAAATGACCATCAAAAACGGTTTTCAGGCGTCACTTAAAAGTATAAAGCTTTTTTTTTTCCTTCGACCGAGTTCTAGCTGAATAACAGCTGTGAGCTGCAGTTAGAAATAGATGTGCATATATAATTCGTTAATTCGTTTCTGTAGTCCACATTTTTATTGACACATAGAACACACTAATATGATGTGTGTATATATATGTATATATAGTATCCGTCATACGTATCACACCGAGAGAAAAAGATTAGAGAACAACAGAGAGAGAGAGAGAGAGAATTTGATATGAATGTAAAACCAGGGAGTATTTTTTCCACTATCTACGCCAAGTGCTGCATTTTCTCTGCCCTATAAGTCAGCAAAAAAGTCTGAACTACATTTTGTCTATTTCTTTTTGTTTTTTCCGCAGTAGAAACAGAGAGCAGAGAGCACAGCTTTCCACCATTATGCGCAAAAGCCAGAGGGTTTGCAGCAGCCCCGAATTCCTTTTTGTTAGAAGACAATTTACAGCTTGGTAATAGACCTTTTTATGGGCCTGTATCGCCTGTCATTGGATGCCACTGGTCATGTGCAGGAGGCAAGCGTCTTCATGGCCCCCTTTTCCTGATTTCTCCAGCGATTTTTTTTCCGCATTCTGCAGCTAAAGCGTCCTAACCCAAACACTTATTTCTCTCCTCGCATTTATATTTTATATAATGATCAGACTTACACAGTGAAGTACACGCACAGTCAGCGAAGGGCCTCTATAGCTTCAGCAGTGCTAATATGTGCTGTCAGGCGCTTCATAGCTGCTCCTTGTGCAGAATCTTTAAGGAGAGCTGCTGTACCGCTCGCTGCTGTTACACAACAACAAGCAGAAGACTTCAGACAAGCCGCAGACGGAGGAAAACGGAGGAGGACATGGATTATCCGGCTGTGTTTGGTAAGTGTATATTTTATAACACATTATTCTGGTCTAGGTAGGACCTCTGATTCACTTAGACAGGTCAGGCATGCTGTTCAGAGAAATTGCATTAATAATCCCTAATGACAGCAACGTTAGATTAGCCAGTAAATAACATTCGATGGTTTCGATAAACTAAATATGAAAGAATCGAAATAAACGACTTCCTACAGAGTTTTATGTTTGTAAAGTGTAACATGACGGTTATACAGAACAACATAACATGACTGTTACAGTGATTTACAAAGAAGACTGTTTCATTATCTAATTTCTCATATAATGCCAACATCTACTATTATGATCCACTTTTTTACTATTTATTATGTAACATTAATTTGGAGACTATTGCATGTCACATGACCTGAACAGAGATAGCTTAAACTGTGTGCGATGTAAAGCATTTTCCAATGTGATAAAATATAAAGCAACCCATTTGGTTATTATTATTATTATTATTAAATAATAATAATAATAATAATAATAATAATAATAATAATAATAATAATAATAACAACAGACGACATCACTGCAGATTTACTTATTAATTAATGTACAACTCCTTTGCATTTCCTTTCTCACACTTAGATTCAGAAACTGTTTATTTGTGTGTGTGTTTTTTAACAATTGTTCAATTCTGTGACAACATTATTAACACTGGTGTTTGACGTTTGGCTACAATATGATAACTCTAATGTGACAACTTGCTGATAGCTACGTCTGCATGTAATGTCAGCCTAATATGAATGAGTTTTTCGTTGTGTATGTGCCAGACGCTGGAATACACAGTGAAGTGCTAAAAAAGGTGAAAAAGAAAGGAAACTGTGCACTGGTTTAATATATGCCTACCCATTGGTGAGAATGGTGCAGTTCTGTGGGCAGTTGTGAGCTGCCTGGAGATGGGGGCTGCGGAACAAAGACAGTATTTCACCACTGGCTGACAGGCAGCTGCAAAAGTATTTACAGCCTTACTGCAATGCGGCAAGAGAAGCAGAGAAAGGCGCATAATCAGAGGCCTGCTAGCTAGCACACAGCTAGAAACGCATTACATTCGCTTTCTTTCCAGTATACAAGTCCATAGCGTTTTAATTTATTACTGATTATTGAAAATGTAATGTAATGTAGCGCTAACCGTAGAAACGTATTTATTAACCGTCTGTGTGAAAATAAGCTACAAATATTGCTATAATTAACACATGCTCAGGAAAATAAATTTACTGAAGACTGTTATAAGTCTGTGCCAGCGTGATTCATAATACATACCGCTGAATAAGAGAGGTGTTCATAATCCTACAGCTAATCACCTAAAATACATTTTAAGCCTTCAAGCAAGATGTCTTTGGGTCTGAGGATCTGAATCTGATATGGATATTACTGTATTTAATATGTACACACACGTGCATACACTTACAAAATCAGTGCATATTTCCCTCTTAAAAATGCTGGATATTGGAAAGGAAATACGTAATTCCACATTTCATATACATGCTTCTTCTTTTCTCTTCTTTATTTTACAGCTGCTGTTGTATGTTATCCTAATGTGTCATGAAACCGAGAACTGATCCTTTTTCTGATACGAGATGTTTTATTTCGTTTGCAAAAATGACAGCTGATCAGCGCAATAGTAAAGACTGCACTTCTGCATATGATATCAAACAGCACGTTCAGGTGTCTTATTATCAGGCTTACGCCATGCCTAAGGAGGGAAAAAAGCCTAGACTGCAGTTTGCCATGCGCCAAAGGCACACAGCAGTACCCGTACGAGCCGACAGACGGCACTGTTGTCCAACACTCTGAGACCTGCCAAGGCCTCTGCGTCGTTTGTTTCCGAGGTCGTTTCTGTAAATTGTGGTTGGCTGCTGGAGGCATGTGACCCTGCTCAGCTTTTTGTCTTGAAGTGTGATAGGAAATATAGTGATATTCATTTCAAACCACGACCTTTAAACATAAAAGTTGACTTAAATGTGCCTTACTTGATATAGGCTAAGGTAGTCACGGCTCAATAAAAGGTGTGGGATTTCAAAACAAAGCCTAAGTAAATATTTAATTTCTTCAGCAAATCCTCATTTTGCTAAATGATTTTTGATTATCTAAATCATTCTAATATATGTATATATTGGGCGCATTTGTGTGTTAGCAAAGTAGGCTTTGCTCAGCTTTACTAAGAGAGCTAGAATAACAAATAGCTAAAATAATAAACCATTTTACAATGGTTCAGTGATTTCAGTGTGGATGAGCTTCTGTAAGGTTTTAAACTCTCGTCTCTAAAATAAAGCCTTAAATATCAAAAGATATGTTCAAATCCATTTGGCTTTTTATGAAGGCGAGAAGTCGACATATGGGGCTGCAATGTGCAGTTCAAAGGTTCTCACGTTGGCCGCAGCGCGGTTCACCCCAGGGATGCGTTTTATTGCTTTATTGCCTTAAAATTACAGTGAGAAAAACACTCACAGAAGTTCACACGTCAGACTGCTCAAACGCACCTCATTTGCTCCGGGGGGAAGGGCTACGGCGACGTAAGTAGAAAAATGAAGGAATTATCACATTCAAAATGTCTTCTTTTTTTGGCCAAGTGCGTGTAGCTACTATTACTTTGGATTCTTGAACAATAACTTTCTTCCTCCTCCCATAGAGAGAAACGTTTTCCCCTCAGAGAGCAATGAATGCTTTTATTTCCTCCTGACATCAGTGTAATCGCCATTATTGAATAAGTGCAACTTTCAGGGTTATTTATGGCACCCGCGCGCTGTCATGAATGGCTGTGGGGAAGCACGTGATACCATTAAACTTTGTTTTATGGCCAGGGAGTTGACAAGCCAAAATATAATTCACATTGTATATTAGAAAGGCCTTGCAGACGGTTTAGAAAAGGTCCCAGTCTCAGTGCGGAGCCTGAATTAGCCCTGGTTTTGTTCTGATCATGGATATATTCGCTTATCGGCGTGCTCTGCGTGCTCAGCCGAGCCCTCGAGGTAAGACCGCTTCCAATACGTGTCACTGAACTTGTGCTGGGTTGAACTGGGTCACTCCGCTCGGTGTGCTTTCCCTCCATGTGTGTGTCTCGCAGTGCGCTGCTGGTTCGGACTGCTCGTTTAAACTCGCTCTTTGTGGTATGTTAAGACTGTTAAGACTGGTTGAGTGACTACCAAGTAGAAATAAACGCGGTGTAATGAAAGTGACGTAGCGTAATTGTAGTTTAGTAGTTTTGGTGCCACGTTGTGAGAGAGAATGACTGTACCGGGAGAGTGCTGCCTCACCACCAGATCCTGATCTTACATATATATATATATATATATATATATATATATATATATATATATATATATATATATATATATATATATATATATATATGTATGTGTGTGTTAAATAGATATGGACAGAGAGATAAGAAACTAAATGATTGTGCTTTTTGCTTGTTTTGTTTGTTTTTGTGTGGTTAAAATGAATCCTGGCATGTTACTTTACGGTCAGTGAAGTGGGCAGATTTTTAGTGCTCATATTTTGTAATGGGCTGTGTTGCAACTGCTAAGATGTTATTTTTCACAGAACTAAAACTGATAAAAGTACTGATCTAGTGATGTGAAAAATGTCTCTCGGGTTCATGAAGAAAATAAACTAAACTAGAATAAACGAAATTTCTTATATTAGTAAACAAAAGCTTCTAAAAATGTGATATAGTCTGTATAACAAACCTTAAAGGTGAGCCATTTTCTTTATTCTGATAGACATGCTCTCTAGCGCCCCCGCACCGAGAGAGGATGCATTTAGTCAAAAAACTGCTCAACACATTAAAAAGCAAAATGTAACAGTGTGCTAAAATGTTGAGGTTAAAACATAATATTTTTTCTCATTATTAAAAAATAAAACTGCACAATATCACTTATTTAAATATATTTATTTTTAAATAAATTTACGGCGCAATAGGGAATGGGCCTTAAGCTTGGCATTACATAACCTATACTTTTTATTCGTACTAATTTTTGCATGAAACACGGCCTATCTCCATATGCACAAGTTATTTTCATGAAAAAAATGGAACGAATACTATAAAGAGCAAGAATGGGCATTTTACAGCATTTAACACCGACATCGGCGCAGTTTCGTTTATTCCAGAATAAACTGCAGTGTGTTTGGGTTTTTTGAGCTTTAGAAGCTGCCCGCCGAAAAGTGAAACCACATAACGCAATGGCTGTAAATCATGAATTAGGTTTATCTGTGCAGCCTATATTTAGGTATGAAAATAATGAGTTTATAAATCATTTTTTAAAAAAATGCAAATATGGAAATGCACACAATTTATAAGAAAAAAACAGGGAAGAGTCAATGAGTAAAAACTCTAAACTAGCTCCTCTATATGATGTCACATAATCAACTCCCCCGTTTTTGGAGTAGCATTTGATTTCGCTGCGTATGGATTTGAAAATAAAGTGAGATTTTTGATAAAGAAATGCGGCTGCTGTTAAATTTTAAGCCAGAGGTCATGAAGAGCGGTGGCTTCTCTATTCTTTTGTTCATCAGTAACTCGGCTTTGACCCGCATGAAGAAGTCGCGAGGGAAGGTGAACCGCAGGTCAAGCTGTCTAACATATATTAAAATGCAAAACGCTTTGAACAGCTCACCTCCAATCACTTATCTTCTCTGAAGCAAGTATCAGCTCTACAGAGGCACACAAATGAAATGAAAGTGATAGAGACTGTGTCTGTAAATAAAATAAATGTACAGAAATGATCAGTTGGGGTTCCGAAAGTTAATTACCAGACATTGTATTTAGAATAGATTCATTCAAATTAGGCTGGGTATATATTTTAAATAATTACAGTCTGGCTATTTTTCCTTTATGATCTGTGTAGTGACAACCAGCTATACTCCAATGTGAACATTAGAAATCCTCCATAAATGGAGCGCCGTCTTGCAGCAGCGAAAATACAGCTCAGATTCAGTCTAAGTCAATTTTCACGTATTTGGAATCCAACTATTCACAATTGAAATGAATTCTATTTCAAAATAACTCTTCTCTTATTTTCTTCTTGCGCGATTCTGTGGTATCTGGCTCTCGTGGCGGGAAGCGAGAACACCGGAACACTGGAGATGGTTATGGAGAGGTCATGCAGAATTCATGAACTTTAGTGCTCTTCCGATGCTGCTGTCGCTGCGCTCAAAAATAATGAAACTTTGTGATGTGTGTTGTAAATGATTTCGGTTGACCTCTCGGCCTTTAGTCATTTACTTATACGTGTCCACTCAGTGTTAAAAGTGGACAGTGGCTAAGTGAGACCGCCTGATTTACTTTACTGGTATGGAAACGTAGCATATGTGAGTAGAACAGTCCTTCTATCCTCATATTAATCGATACACATTAGTCTAATATAATGACATGATAAGTCGAATGATAAGTGAAAGACTGGTTATAATTGACTGAGCTTTTTAATTGATGTGAGTGAAGCAGGGTGTGTTGTGATAAAAAATATATATATATTGCCAAAAACTGTATGTATGCATGTTACTTTTTGACTGTATAATTAGACCAAATTGAAGTTTGCTAATTGATGAATAAAGCTGTCCGTAAATGCAAGGTTTCGTGATCGATAATGACTTCTCTGTCTTAAAGCATTGTCAGTGAAGCCTTAACAACAAGCAGAAATTGGACCTTTTTATCCCGTCGTCTATATATACCCTGTAGAACCGAATTTGTGTGAAAAAATCACAGTCACAGATTCGATTCTAGGGGAGTATATGGTCGATGCAAAAACTTCGAATAAACTCAACTTTTGATTTAACGTTTAATTAAATATCAGAACAGTAAAACAACATAGTCGCACTTGTAGTTTTGGACAGATGCATATATGCTCTATAGAACATTCAGGCTGGTAAAATGTAGATTGGTAAAGTTCTCCATGCAGAATATAATATCTATAATATTCGACACCATCATGAAAAAGAATGCACTTTAGTTCCTGATAAAGTCGCTTGCCTTACATTAGCATGTCCTCATTTAACTGAGATTCGGAGATGCCCTCTTTCGCCAGTGACCCCTTTAAGGTTACTGTGGCCTTAAGTGCTATTTCCATTTTCATAAGACACAGAATATGAAGCTTGAAATCGGTACACGGGTAAGATATTGTGTTTTATGCTGGAAAAAAACGTGAACTTATCCATGTTATGTGCCATGCTAGTGTAAACCAGAGGCTCTCCACGCTTCAGCTCTGTATTATTTAGAGTTTGATTACTGATTGGCACACGGCATTGATGGCGGGCCACAGCAGTGAAAAGCACTGGGACGATGAGAGTCCTGTAACTTTTGAATGACCTCTTCATCACAAAGACGGTCTCCATCAATTGTCTCCCGGCTTTATTCGCCCCTTTTTGTGCCTGGGGTCGTTTTGTATCTCCTAATTGTTTACCAGTCAGAATCCCTGGCTTGAGTTTGATTTACTATGGTTGAATATTAATCCTGCAGATGGAAATAGACATCTATAGTAATGTGCATCTTTGTTATGTGTATATATATATATAACCTTTCAACATGATAACTCACATGTTATGCTTTGTTCATAAGCACTGGAAAAGTTCTAATTAATGGAGCAATATATTGCATGCATTGTCAATTCTGCCCCGCTACATTTTGTGTTTCATCAGTCCTAATTGTGATATTTTGCGAAGTTTGTGAAATTCGCTGCTAGGTGTGTATGACTTCTTCTGCGTTAATAGGCTTCCTTCACCTCGATTGGCCGAGCTGGTCACATGGGTGCCCAACTTTATTCAGTTGACAGCAAGTAGGAGGGCTTTATGGAGGGAGGAAAAAAAGACAACTCGAGAAAAATTAGTATTTTCTACCTTCAGAAATTAATGGCCATGAGTTCGTACATGGTAAACTCCAAGTATGTGGATCCAAAATTTCCTCCCTGCGAGGAATATTCGCAAAACAGTTATATACCTGAGCAGGGCTCGGGCTATTACAGTCCATCGCAGGACACTGATTTCCAGCATCCAGGGATCTACTCACGGTCAAACTACTCGGAGCAACCCTACAGTTGTAACACTGTGCAGGGCTCAACGGTACAGCCGCGGGGTCATGTGCAGGACCAAGCCAGCAACCCCAACTCTTTTCCCGCACAGACCGAACAGTGTTCCCCGGTCCAAATATCCGGCCCGAGGACTTGTGGCCAACAGCAAAACACAAAGAACCAGAACGGGATACAAAGCACGCAGCCTGCAATAGTTTATCCCTGGATGAAGAAAGTCCACGTTACTACGGGTAAGATTCACTCTCTTTCCTGTCTGTTTCTGGACCGGCCGAACTCGGCGATATAAACCACGCTAAAAATCACTCCGTGAAATATTTATGGGTTCTTCTGAAGGGGCCGCCAATTACACTAGTCATAAATTTTTATTGCTTAGGAAATAGGCCGCTGGCTGAATGGGCTGCCTCTGCGCTATTGAGACGTCCACTTGGACTATTGAGTTCTATTATTTATTCATGAAAATCAGTGGAATATCTCAGTGAAAATGTAATTTTGAATTGCATTGGCTATTTTTTATTTAAAACAAAGCGGAATCGCGTGCAGATATTCAGCGGGGAAAGCCGCATGTGGGAGCAGGGCTGTTTTCTTAACTGGGTTCACTTGCTCACCCAAGTGTGTTTTTGTCTTTTCCAGTGAACCCAGATTACACAGGAGCGGAGCCCAAGCGCTCCCGGACAGCCTACACCAGGCAGCAGGTTTTAGAACTGGAAAAGGAATTTCATTTTAACAGGTATCTGACCAGACGGCGCCGGATCGAAATCGCGCACACCCTGTGTCTCTCTGAGCGACAGATCAAAATCTGGTTTCAGAACCGGAGAATGAAATGGAAAAAAGACCACAAACTGCCCAACACGAAGGGGAGGTCGACGTCGGCAGCAAACCAGCACGCAAAACACGTTCAGAAGGACAACCAGACAGATATCACAACTTTATAAGCGAAGTGGAGCGTTCAACTCGCTCCTGAAGTCCAGACGAACTGTGTATAATAGACAATGCTTCATTTGCCTTTGCATGGTCTTAAAAGATGTCTTTTTTGACACCAGTGATATTTAATGTGAACCAGAAGCACACATCATTACCAAACAGTGTGAGTGGACTGGATGAGAGGACTGAAAGCTGAAATATCTCCATTTCCACCGTTGTAAGTATGAAAAAGAATAGGAGGGCATCACAACATGCTTCCCATGCTGCCATGAGGTATAGTAGATAATAAAGCTTGCCAAATCTATATAAAAGCACGGAGTTGTTCCTAAAGCTATTCTTCTTTATTAGATTTTCTCTTTCATTCATTCTTATCCCTGCAAATGCATTGCAGCAGGTTTACGACTAAGACCTGTGAATTTGTTAAATTATTTCTCTAAGGAAGAGCAGGTTTACGACTACGGCCTGTGAATTTATGCATTTGTTTTATTACTTTCGTACTCTAAGCTTCCGTTAAAGCTCACGGAATTACAAATGTCTGACCTATTTCTTACTTTCGCTTCACTAATTCTTAAATTTTGTATTAATCAGGAATACGGTTCACAAAAAAATCCATATTTACATAAGAATTCGAAAAATCATTCAGAAATTGGAATTTAGAAATTGCCCACAACGTCACAAAATTCAAAACGTTGCAAAATGTGAACCGTTAATTTTTTTTTTACAAATACTGGATACTTTCGAACGAACTGCTCTTTTAAAATGAATTAAACAGCCAGTGTGACTTTTTAAAATCTGTTAAATTTCGAAGCAAAAATCCCAGTGTGTTGACCATACTATTGGATATCTTTACGGCTATAAATCTCACTTGACAGTTTTGTAAACAGTGTACAATTAAAGAAGCTGCATATCTGTCTTCCAGATGTCATCTGAAATTCCTAAATAATAGTCCATTTATTGTTTCACTTACTTTTGCATTTCTAGATACACCTTTAGATCTTGAGTACTTTATTTATTAAATTTCAGAACGAGAATGCTTAAAATGTTGTGTTTATATTCTACGTGAATTTAAGTGATCGTTCCTTAAATCTATTACGTTCATTTATGAAAAGTGCGTTATTTTTATTCTATATATTTCTGTATTTTGTGCATATTTTCTACAAGCACATTTTGTAGTAAATGAGTAATAGAGACCATTAAGAAAAGGTTTATTCCCAAACCACTTCGCATACTCTGTTGAAGTAATAACATGCTGTGTACTGTTTGAAAAAAGGAAATAACTGCTCTGCCGTTTTTACGTTTGATTAAAAAAAGAAAAAGAAAATATTTTTGGCAAAAACGGAATGGGTCTGGGTCTGAAATGTGAGTCGGGCCATTCACGCCGTGATTAAAGATCGAATGTTCTACTGTCATTGTGGTGTCTTTGTCTTCTTGAACAAAACCCATGAGGCGCTCACACATCGCCAAGACGTCTTCTACTGAAGCCTTCACGTTGAGAGCACTGAAAAGGTATTTTTACAGAAGTTCGACAAAAGCCTTGCGGGCAGGTTCATCCAGAGGACACAGTTTCTGTTGCATTGGGCGCTTTTCAGCCGCGAGCACTGACCTCTACACCCCCTGACCCGCAAGACCTACAGGCCTTTCTCGCCCAGACGGTTTTAACATTCGGTTGCACCAGCATGGGAAACCAAAGAAGCAAAGAATTAAGTTATAAATAAATAAATAAATAAATAAATAAATACTTTACTTTCTTTACTACGAAAAGGGCATATGTAATCACACTTCAAATATAGGCATTCTGTCTATGTTTCACTTGGATGTTAACAGGAGTCTAGTAAATGTGGATTGAACAATCAACAGTAACCTAATTACAAAGGCAGGCCCTGAATTTCTCACTGAAATGCACACAGTGAGAGGCAGGTGTGCACTGAACGGCACCTCCGCACATTCACTGTCCTGTGTTCCAGATTTTGGGACTTTTGGCGACTTTACCTTAATGCAATTTTCAATACTGTGTTTGTTTTCACTATTGTGCGGCGAGGATTTTTATTTATTTATTGACTTATTGATTTTTGTCATGAGAAGAACCCCCCTAGATTCATTTCAGAGGTCGCATACATGCTTTCATGGATAGCCCTAAAAATACCCTTAGTGATTCCATAGTATTTGAGTCATACCTTTTGTCCTCCACTATTTGAGAAATTTGCATAAAGCTTTATTTTTTGTAACTTTGTCTTATGTGTGTCTGTTCTCTGTGTAGTCTCTCTTCTTTTTCATATCAGTACTTGTATATGTGTGTGAGGGGGCAGAGAGGGGGAGGGAGGCAGAGAGAGAGAGAGAGAGAGAGACACAGAGAGAGAGAGAGAGAGAGAGAGAGGGAGAGAGAGAGAGAGAGAGAGAGAGAGAGAGAGAGAGAGCATATAACAAGCTAAGGATAAAGAGACAGCAAGAGAACAGAGAAGGGCAGAAAATTATGCATGGGTATAAGGCTGGGTATCAAGCTTGCACGTCTCAAGTTGAAGGGTTGTCAGTTTTACCAGCGTCCACTAAAGTGCTCAAACAAGTTTCTTTATTCAGTAGCTGTAATGATATTTTTGTGCTTTAGCTTATCAAAAGCACAGGCTGGGCAAAATAAATCTTCCACAATCGTACAAAATGGTAAACACAAACACTAAAACTACAATCATTTAAACTACGGTCACTGATTTGCATCCAAATATAGTCAGGAATGAACGCGAGGACTGTCTTAAACACCCTGTGTGTTTTTTTTTTTTTAAAGCAACCATCTAAAAGCATGTTGCCCTTCAAGGTTACCAAATATGTGATCAAAGGTTAAAAATTCTGAAATTCCGGCCGGTTCTTTGAGGCATCTCTCAGTGTTGACCTACATGTACGAAGAGAAGAAATGGGAGCCATAGGCAGTTCCATTTGCAATGACACTGCGCCGGCTACCACCGCCGCTCTCACAATGGTCCTCAAAACGGCCATATTTGATTTCCAGCTGTTCGCAGAAAATGTCTTCGCCTAGCGAGACAGCCCGTTAAGATATATTAAACTGCGCTGTCGACATCCGAAGATAGAATTTGGTGACTATATGGTTCCGTTCTATATCTTTTTTTTCTATTCGACCACGTGATTGTCTAAATAATTAATGCAGCACGTCCCCTAGAAACACGGCGTCGTCATTAATCGCGAGGACTCTATCAGACTTGAAAACTGAAGAGATCCAAGAAAATAATATCCAAACGGTCCGGTACCCAACGCAACCGTAGACCGCACGGTTGTACAGCATTTCAGCCAATGGACGCTTGGTAGGTAAACATTTAAGATTCTTTTTGAGTAAGGTGGTGGATGAACATATCTGTCAGAATTTTGATAAATAGCGCCCTTTGATAAGTGCGCGAAGCTTCCTCGAGGACAGCCTGAAGTTGGAATAAGCAGAGTAATAACTCTTTCTTTTGTAGAAACCGTTACGACCACATCTAGGTCTGAACCTGCATTTACAGACGACCCTTGTGATTTTACCGTATGACGGTGGACTGTAGGCTGATTTAAACACTACCACTCTCAGTACAATGACTGCATTTGTGAATCGGAGATTTCAGGACAAGTGGAGAGGGGTTGGTTTGTTATTGCGCGGTCGTCAGGGCTTCACGCGAGGGCCTCTTAGTGATTTATAATCCGTCAAAGATGCGACTCTTCCCGGCTGGACTGGTGGCTGTTTGTTGGGATGCGGTGCTGTGTGTTTGGCGAGAAGACTGCAAAACAAAGGCTAACAAAGGCTAAACGCACCCCAAATAGTCAGGAATGAAATCTTTATTAGTAGGTATTAAGAGTATTTTTTAATTCTTCAAGTTCACTGAAGATAATTCAAACAAAAGCATCAACAACCAACAATCCCATAAACAAACAAACCAGAACACTGACGACGATCCAGTACAACAGACTTTTATTTGTATTTTATTTGTGATGGTGCGTAATGATGGTGAAATTATTCCGAAAAGTAGTACAAGTTGCTAGAGAGGAATGATGGAGATCTGCATCGCTGTAAATCATGCTCAGTAATTCCTGAAAGGGTGAGAGGCTGTTGGGGGCCGGGCGTGGACTGTAAATCTTTCACTTTTATTACCCCGTGAACATATGCTGCAAAGGGAGAGTACGCGCATTCTCTCCTCAGGACAAGATCCCGCTCGGCCGCCTTCCCAACTCGCTCCATCTCCATCCCTCCTGCAGCTAACCCACCATCCAGCACACTGGCTGGGAGCAACATTAATACACCGTAAACGTCAGAAATACACATTCTGAAAAATAAAGTACTAGCAATATTGCATAATAATTATTCTTGTATCGTAATTATTCTTGTATCGAAAAGATCTATCCTACATCAGTGTGCTGGTGGTACCAGAAGAACAGTAATGATTTTGATGAATCTCTCCAGATGACGGGGTCATACATTGCTGTCATTGCCTGAGCTATAATCGTCAAACAATATTTCGATGCTTTCTAAGAAGCTATTACAAACACATTTACGAAAGAAAAAAAGGGGTAAAAAATTAGGTACACCAAGACAGCTCTTTCTTTTTCTTACGTTTATTGCAAAGCACAATAATCTATAACGATATAAATGTATTATTATAAAATGTTATGTAACAAAATATAACCTCAATATTGTAATATAAGTGAACAAAAACAACCCTGTTCATCCACTGAAATATGTTTTCAAACATTTCACTTTCTCAGACTGTATTTTTTTTTGTTCAAATTTAGTAAAAAAAAAAGAGCATTTATTATTACCACAAACCTCTCAAGGAGGATAAATATGAAAATGAATACACTGATAATCTTCTCAGTGTGGGAAAAGGAGCAATTCTGGATAAAATAAGATGAGGGACTGGAGGGTAGCTTAGCGCTCTTGCTTTTAAAAATGGATTTGTGAGGTAAGGCTTGGTTGGAGTAGCAGCCTCAATCAGGACAATCTGCTATCCAGATCACGTGAACAAATATGCTTGTATTTTAAGGCAGCGCCTTTATTTGTCATGATAAAGGTTTCTCAAACCCCAATATCCTAATGTTGACTCAAACGGTGATCCTACTTCTGTAAACCTTCGCGTTTTTTTCCAGTGGGAGGTTGACTACCAGCAATTTTGTTCGTTTTTGGAATAAGGATACCTACTTGGCTTTTTATTGGTAGTTGAGTGAGTGGCTTCCATTCTTTCGGGAATACTGTCTGCATTGGTATATGGAAATGTCTGAAAAAGCGCAAGATCAGGTTTAGGACAGTACAGTGCACAGACAAAGGGTGAAGGATATATCCGAGGCACTGCAGGGAAAGATATTGAGACTGAGAAGCACGGCTGTATGATAAATTGATTCACAGGTAAGCAATTGCATGGCAAAACGCAACCTTTAACCATGAGCTTTACATTAAGGCAACAGTAAAAAAAAATATGATTTATTCCATTCAGAGCAGCTGATCTTTATTAATGCCGCCGCACCTTTAACTAAGCACAATTTAAGAACCTGAATACACGAATTCTGTGGAACTAGTTTACACTTTTGAGCAACCATGAGCACTTTCGAAAGGTTAGCCTGGACTGCATGTCTGATTCACACTTTTGACGCTGGATTTTAGCTGATTTTGCGATTTGACATAAAAAGACTAAACGCAAAGGGGAAAAGAAGCAGCGCAACTTCTTGTTCTGTCTCATAGCCTGCGAGATCGTAAATCACTTTAATTTGTTGTCTTATCCTCACAGTAATGTTAGACATGATATATGTGGTTTAGGACATATGCATTGTTAAGCAGCGATGCTACCATATTCAAATGAATTCAGTTGTTTTATTTCGGATTGGGATTTTTACAGATTGCAGGAAAGCAGTCATCTAAAACATCATCGCAACGTTTTCTAAATGGAACAATACAATCTCCAAAAATAGAAATAGCAAGGCTCAATTATTTTTTCATTAAAACAAAAGAAATAATAACTTATGAAAAAAACATCATTTTTTGCTGTAATTTAAAGGACTTTTTAGATAATCTACTATTATGCATAGCGTAATTAGTATGATATTTTAACTGAAATTACAAAGCCCGTTTAAAAGATAAGCTATTTGTATTGGTTTTGTGCCTGTCATTACAACATTCACAATGTCTTAAAGCAAAATCAAAAGAAACTTATTTCTTAATCTAAGAATAGATTAAGAATACATTTAATAAACTTAATAACATCTACATTTAATGAAATTGTACACATTTTTAATGGAACACTGTCATTATAACGTCGACTATATAAACAAAAGCACAGACGTCTTACGGATTTTAAACAGTTTATTTCCTGACTGCAGGACCAAAGTCGCTGTTTTGACTTAGCTCTAAAAAATACATTTTATGACCTTGGAGCACATGAACACCCTTACAGCTGTAGAGAAAAAGCCTCCGTCCATTTTGTCTCCAGAAGGCTTTGTAAGAGCGCGGCTTTGCACTTAGCAAGACAAGACAATAGCCTGCAATATAATATTTTTCGAAAATGAGCGACCAGACTTGGAAGAACATAGTTAAGAGTATTTAAATCTTAACCGAATCAGACTCCTATGCATATTTTAAGAGCTCCGCATCTTCAGTCCATTATTTTAACTAACCATTGTGCCATTATGCACACCAAACTTACCGTAACAATGCGTGGGCGAAAACATTGGAGCCTGAGAATGGCTGAGCTTGTTAAGCAACAGACATAGCAACGTTTATCCCATTAAGAAAGACTTTGAACATGAAGAACCAGCTTAAAATGTACCACTTTTTTCAAAGCTGCTAGGCATTTTTGAAAACGCAGTCCATATTAAAAAAAAAAAAAGCCGGGCGTGCAGTCCTCTTCCCACGGTTTTCTACTCCTGTTATATCCTCCCAGCGCCGAAAAGCAACTCGAGTCTTGTCTGGAGACCTAGCTTAGATGAAGAGCTTAAATATCTCATCCTCACGGGCTCTTTCGGTTTTAAAAACACTGGAGGAAAAGTTGTGCGGTGTGGATTGCTTTGTGACTTACTTGAGCCCCTTCCGCCCGTTGTTCATTAATCAGTGAGTTATTGCTGAAGAAGCCAAAGGTCATCCAAAAGGCTTATGAGTGCTAAATATTTTGGCCAGCTCCTCTTTGTGTGGAATCGCTTATGTCAGTTTTTTTAAAGCCCAGTTTTAACATACATATACAATTGTACATCCAGAAAAAAATAAAAGAAAAAAGAAAAGAAAAAAGGGGAAAGATAAAGGAAAAAAGGAAGCACACATTTAAAAATGTTTTTTTTTTAATTAAGATTTTGAATATGAGTCATTATATTGCTGTATTGTAAATATCAGAGCTGTATACAATAGCATGTGAAATTAGCCAAAGGACATAAACAGGACATATAGTTTTGCTCTATACCCTGTGTGGTAAAGACTGAAGACAAAACAAGCGGCATCCAGCAATAATGTAAAGTTTCTAGTAGACCTCAGTGATCAATGAATTGTTTTCATCCTCCAGGTCGTGGTCCGAATAATGAGGAGCGCTTGAGGGAGAAGAGAGAACAGTGCGATACACACTGCGGTGAGTAAATCTTTCCTTTAATGAAACACACAGGTCGCGCGGAATTTGATATTATTTCTGCACGTTATTATCAGATGCTGCATGTCTTCTTTTTAATATTTATCAACGGTAATAATCTAAAAGTGTACATGAGTCTAAACAAGCTAAAATAAAAATGTTCTGATCCCAAAAGACTTAACATCTATAGAAAAAAACAAACAAACAAACAAAATATTACGTACCTATTAAACAAGTATCATTATGTTAACTGAAACGTCAACTGGATGAAGCCCTGAGACATGCAAGAATAAAGGATTCGTACATATTTCACCCTGATGGGTGTTACAGCGTTGAATGTAATTTTATAGTTCTTCTCACATTTCTCTCAGTTTATCCAACACAAAACTACATGGCTTAAAACGCTCAGTGCTTTAAAAATCTATCTTTTTACTGTTGTAGGTGAAATTTCTGGTAAAAAAAGCAATACATAAGGCATATACATCTCGCACAAGAGCAGAGGATACGCATCTCCAGTCTTCAGGATTTCAGAACATGTTCTCCGCTTTTTTGCTTCAAGTCCATCATCCTCTTCGTAAAACTGTGAGATAACGCAGCATTACTTCATTTCAAGACAACGGTATCTTGTGTGCTGGGTGGACTGGACTGAAGGACTGGTTTTATAGTGGCGGCCTCATCGCTCTCACTATGGGAGAATAGCAGAGTAGGGCATTCTTTAACCCGGCCATCCTCCTACGCTTGGAGTTTATACTGCGGACTGTAGCACGTCTTTGGCAAGTGTTGTGCTTTACACTCCTGTGGTAGGCTCGTTTTTTTATTAGTTGGCCAGTCATAAATTCTGTGGGGGTCCGAGTGACAGGTGCATTGCTATGCAATGCGCGGAGCTTCAGGCCGTCTAATAACTACAGTATTGAGCTGTCCTGTCACACGTTAGAGTCATTTTGGTGTTGGTCCAGCTTAAAAGGGAAAGAAAATGATAATAAAAAATAAGGTTTATAAAGAGAAGGATTCCTAGTCCAGCCTACATGCTGAATTGTAAAGCACGCTGTGCCCGAACACGCTACAGGGCTGGAAGGAGCAGATTGCACCCGCGCATTTGCCATGCATTTGTGAGGTTATTAGCATAGCTCAGTGACCCTCCCACCCACCATCACCCATTCCCACAACGCACAGCGTCGGTGAGAATTGAGGAGCAATATCGCGCGCCTATATCATCAGTTAGGAAAGTTACATTAGAAGGTATAATGTGTAAAATGCATTAACTTGAAGCATCGCATTAAAGCAATAGTGCGGGATGATAAAAGTAGGCATATACATGATGATAAAAATGACACTAAACACTTTATATGAAACACTTCAGCAGTTTGAACAGGAGGAGAAGGAGAAGGCTGCCTTTGCCGTTATGATTTACAGCCCAGCCTTTGGGTGGTTCAGATAAAGTTCACATACAAGCAATGTGACAGCAACAAACGGACGGTATAAACACACAAAAGACGAAAAGGATGCAACAACACCAATTAAGCAGTTCATTTAAGAAATATTAAAATACACTGCGTAAAGGTTGCTTCAATTGAACTATCCAGCTTTTATGAATCCAATTACATATGGTATCAAGTTGCCTTCAACCCGACATCTAACCTGAGGCGGTTTCCAACATTTAGGCCTATAACTTCTCATCTTTGATTAACATCTGTAATACGATCTTCTGTGGCTAAAAATAGTAGAGTAGATCACGTATTTTCTTACTTTTATTTCTTTGTTTATTATATCCCTGGATAAAAGCACTCATACTTTGTGTTGAGCAATGAAATGGGAAAGAAAGGGATATTGTTCTTGCCAAAACTGCTGATTCGCCTTCTGCCTCCTTTAGACTGGGCTCAATAGGGAACTTTCAGAACTAGTTAAAGTTTAACCCTCTTGTTGCATTCTCGCCTGAGGTCCTGAAAACGAAAGGCTAAAGAGGTTGGGGAGGCAAGCACGCCAGAAGCCTTGTATAGATCTAAAAAGTCTGAAGAGGAGCTCAGGTGCATGATGGCGAGCTCACTCATAACGCCAGCCAAAAAAGCACCAATATGTAAGAAAATGTCTGAAACAAACGAGTGCTTAGGAGAGGTTCTTCTGTATGTATGAATGTGGAATCATTCCTTCAGCAGCCTCCACTTGTTTCCAGAGCGTTGAACAGGCTTCAAATTAATGGCTTTACGCGCGGATCCAGTAGAAAACTTAAGCAAGTTTTAACTTGACGCAACTTGACTCACTGTTTCTAACATATTTGTCAGGCATAAAGCTAAAGTTCAAATGTGGTGAAAACGTTTCAGTTAAGAGATGAGTGAAGTCGGAGAACGCCCAAATGTTCACGTGAAATCAGTGTCTTATCATAATGTATATTAATTCACCTCACCCCGAACAAAATATTGCATTTCTCTGCCTGCCACAGATACTATGAACTGTTTAAACAAGCAGCTAATCTTTTCTAGAATACGCCCAGAGCAGAGGCAGTGGAAAATGGATAAACTTGCCACCCAACATCACAGATTTGGAGGAAATGTTTGGCATTAAGATGCAGAGTAAAGAAGCACTGTGCACAACCAACATGGAAATTCGAAACTCTTCAGTCGTTACTGATATGATTTGTAATGTTGCTTGTCCCTTTGCAGGTCAAAGTATAGAGAAACAGTGGGAAGCCCCAGTCACGTGACAAAGGAGCCCATGCCATTGGACAAGGGTACAAAAGCCCTCGTAGTTTAAAATCTTCACAATGCAGAAAGCCACTTATTATGATAACGCTGGACTTTTTGGAGGTTACTCATACCCTAAGTCTGACTCGTATACGTATGGGCCTGCACACCAGTCCTACCCCACTTCCAGCATCGAGAATGACTATCAAGGCCCAATCTGCTCCATTCAAACTAGCACGGTGCGGCCGCCGGCGCACAAAAACAGCGACATCAGTGGCAGCTGTATGCGACCAAGTGGCAGCCAGGGCAGCCAACCAGAGAATGTTGGTGACCAGCAACAAGCGCCTCCTTTAGCAGCCACCTCGCCTAACTCCAACAGCACCACCACCCAGAAAAAGAAATCTCCCAGCAACAATGGCTCCAACACTGCCACCCCAGTCATCACCAAGCAAATATTCCCATGGATGAAGGAGACACGTCAGAACTCAAAACAAAAAAGCACCAACTGCACGGCTCCAGGTAGCTATACCCTGTGTGGATGTGGGGTGCGTGGGCGGGTGGATGTGTGCGTACAGCGGGGCTGTTTGTTTGGGCAGAGGAAGGGACCACTCCAGTTCATTAATGATGGTGTCTCAGATTCGCCTTGAGCGCTCACCAGCCTTATATTGCTTTCAGAGCACTAGAGGAGTGGGCTGCTTTGAAATAATTCCATCGATTACATATGACATGGCTAATCCCAAGTATTAAAATCAGTTCCTAGGCACTGCAATATGGATTGAGATGCCAGTCACTTTATGATAAATATAGCCAATCGCTTTTTTGATATGTTTCCCCATTCTGTTGCCTCTTTAGCCTTACTGCTCACAATGTAGTGACCCGAAAACTGTCGCTAAGCACTAAAAATGTTTATGTTACGTTTTCAGGAGAGACCTGCGATGACAAGAGTCCCCCTGGACCGGCCTCCAAGCGGGTGCGCACTGCCTACACCAGCGCCCAGCTCGTGGAACTCGAGAAGGAGTTCCACTTCAACCGCTATTTGTGCCGTCCCCGAAGAGTCGAGATGGCTAATCTACTCAATCTCACTGAGCGCCAAATAAAGATCTGGTTTCAAAACAGGAGGATGAAGTACAAGAAGGATCAGAAATCCAAGGGCATAATGCACTCTCCCTTAGGACACTCTCCGGACAGAAGCCCGCCGCTAAGTGGCCCCAATCACGTTGGATACTCTGGTCAGCTTCCAAATGTAAACAGTCTCAACTACGACGCGCCGTCGCCTCCGTCCTTTGCCAAGCCTCAGCAAAACATGTACGGCCTGGCTGCGTACACGGCGCCGTTAGGCGGCTGTATACCGCAGCAGAAAAGATACCCGGGTACCGAGTACGAGCACCACAGCATGCAGGGGAACGGAAGCTTTGCCAACGCTAATTTGCAAGGGAGCCCCGTGTACGTCGGGGGGAATTTCGTTGATTCTATGCCAGCCTCGGGCCCTATGTTCAACCTCGGCCATCTTCCTCATCCCTCATCCGCCAGTGTGGACTACAGCTGTGCCGCTCAGATCCCGGGCAACCACCATCACGGACCGTGTGACCCTCACCCCACATACACAGACCTCACCTCTCACCACGCTTCTCAGGGAAGGCTGCAGGAAGCGCCGAAGCTAACGCATTTGTAAGGATTTGGTGTGCGCGTGTGCCCAAGCGAAGTGTCGCTTTTTATTACCTCACAAGTTAAAAAAAAGTAATTTATATAACTACACTCCGAGAGAGAGACAGACATAACGTATTACCCCTGTACTATTATTGATATTACTATTACTGCTATGACTGTAATTATTTTTTAAGCTGTGGTCCATTTCTCTTGACTGTTGGAGATGCGCAAGAGTGTTTGTTGTCAGTCGTTTGAGATCTTGAGAGAGCAGTGCGCAATATGAAGGCAATTCATATCTTATTACTTGAAGGTAAGTCCTGTAGATTTTACAATATTAGACACCCATCTTTATAGGGATGGAATTTGTAGGGAAAAAAAGAAGAAATCATTGCCATTGTTAAGTCGTCTGTTTAGTCATTGGTACCTATGAATCTGTTCACACTAAAAGTGTCACTATTATTTATTATTTTCTTCTGAGATTGTATGGACAACATTTATCCCTATTGAGTATTTATTATTTATCAGTTTTGTAACGCACATTATTTATCTTTTCATGTGGACTATTTATATGGACTATTGTAGAATTTATGCATCAGAACTGAACAGACTGCGTGGGCTCTGTCATTCTCCAATTTCAAACAAAGTGATAATATGTGACTGGTGTATTTCTGTTTATTGTTTTTTTTTCCTGTATCAGAAAACTTAAAATCTGAAGACGACACATCTAAACATTTTGTTTTATTGCAATCGAGAACCTGGCACTTGACACTTTTTTTTTTGGGGACAATGCTTAAATGTTTTAGGCTAGCTTAAAAACACCAGCACGTCATTTTACCATCTTTGCCCTCATCACTCTTAACAAATATTATTTTGTAAGTGAACAGTCCACATACACAAACACACACACACTCAAATTGATGAAATGGTAACGATATGGAAATGTTATATTTTGTTGTGTTATACATTTTGTAAATAAAGTGCTTAAATTGAATGAGTGAGCTCATATCTGTTTTGGAATCATAAATCTATACGAATAAAGACGAGGATCACACGCGCTTTTCTAATAGCAGGTGATATTAGCACATTCCCACACTGAGTATCTCATCGCCTACAGGGGCAAGACGCCATTTTGAAATGATATCCATAGTAAACAAAGAAGGCTGTGTGGTTTTCACCAGCATCCAATTCCCGCGCCTGCGCGCCACCGCGACTCACCCTTCAGCAACAATAGGCTAACATAAACACCACTAACATATTAAGGATATCCCATGAAAAGTCCATTTTAACATTATATTATCAATATTATCCCACGTTAACGTTGATATAATTCATATGAAACACCTTGACTGTACATTTCCATCCATTCTGTGCTATGGTCATGTTTAATGAGCCACTAGTAATGCACGTAGAGAGACATTCAGGTGGTCCTTTAAAAAAAGCTCATGCACTCAGGTTCTTTAAGCATTAAAACACAAGGAACTAGACACTGGTGGTTGCTTTCCACTTTATTTCAACAGCAATTTCTAAAGGCTCGAGGCTTTGCAAATGCTTCTCTACATGAAGTCAAACATCTCCAGTCATGGCCACTAGACTACATATCATCTCTCAAACACCACTACACCACTGCACAAGTACTTCTACATTCGTGTTTTCCCCCCAAAAAAATTCACCTTATAATATGGTAATAAATAGTACTAAGACCAGAAGCACTGCTGCGCATTGCTAGCTTTACAGGCATGGCAAGTCTTCTCTAACTGAATAGCTCGCTTGCCCGCTTCCCCCTAGCGAGGCATTTCAAAGCTCATTAATCAAAAACTCGTCGCTTTCAGCCTCGCCACTGATTCCACCTCCTTATGAACAAAGCTTTTGCATTCCCAACTCTGGAAACACATTTCAAACTGTGAGAGGCCAAACTTTGTGCTGAGAAAAGGGGAACGTGACAGCATGCTGGCGGTAGGACCAGGGCATGGATGAGAGAGCGCTGGACATTTCTAAGCTACATGCTGGTGATGAGAGGCGCGCTGCTTTCCTCCGCAGAGGGTAGGTAAACTATATTCACAACTCATGCCGGACTGCTTAGAACACAAATCAAGAGTGCGTTATTTAAAAAGCTCAGGCATTTAGACGGTAAAGTTCGGTGTGATAGACAACTGTTACTGTGCAAACCAACACTGCCAGCAGCCTGAACAGTCAGCAAGCTTTTAAATGGAAAGCAAGCGTTTAAAATGACGAAGGAGTTTCGTAAGGAGTTTATTCTAAAATTGGGCATTTCTCCCGAGTTATTCGTTTCCCACGGTTACGTTTCGGTCGATGCGCAGTAATGGCAGCCATTTTCCTCCATCATTATAATGAATTGGCGTTTCTGCTATTTGCTCTAAATTCCCTCCCTCGGATAATACAAGCTCAGAAAATCGCCCAGCTAACCTTCTGACATCAGGAGAGAGCGCGGCTACTTGTGACAGGCAAGTGTTTTTTTAAAGAAAAGACAGTGAAATGACTACAATGCATGCTCTGTTTAAAACCTACAGGCTGCAGATTCACAAAAAAATGTGACGAGATGTCTAAAGACGACATTTGAGATCTTAGTGCTCTGTGCTTTTCCAAACTTGAAATAACATGTATATGGGCGTCGCGATAGTTTACTGTGGGCGCGTGAAAATGGAAATGAAAACGACTGTAACATTAATAATCGAAGTTAGGCCTATGAAGTATAACTTATTTTTGAGCTTCAGTTTAATGTAGACTTCTTTACCTTCTCACTTAAACTGATAAACACAGTTATACATTTATAGAGGTGAATGATAAAAGAAGACGACACATGTTCTTGTTCTGAAAGTGGCCTCATTATTGTTCCATGTTTTATTTAATTATATTAGTAGCTTATATATATATATATATATATATATATATATATATATATATATATATATATAAGCCTATGCTGAGCCTATTGCGTAAGATTATTTATTATTTCCAAACAGTTCCTGCAAAATGGTATTTAAATACATCATTACTATGTAAACCTATTGCACTTGCCCTTACAGTAACTAAACTATCCGCTCTTCTATTGGAGGGTTCCAATGTGTTAAACTGAAATAGGCTATCTGAAGCTTCCTGCTACCTTGTGCATCAGGGCATCAGGGATCTGAAGAACAGAATATATACAATGAGGCCTTAAAATATTAATAACTGGATAATCAGTATGACCTCACAGTTCCACATTATAGGCATCTTCGGTCGGGCTGCAGGCTAAGTACTGCAGGCTTTCAGACGTAAATGAAATGGCAGATCGATTGGCCTAATTCAGATGGCTAACCTAGATCTATGCTATATCGTTTCTGATATTTTTGCATTTTTAGTCCTTGTTTTCTTCTCAGTGTTCATGTCTCTCAGTCAGAGACCTTTTCTCATGGTCTGACCGCACAGCAAAGCAGCTCATCAGAAGTCTTTGTTGTAGGCTAAGCTGGTCGACTCAGGTGGTACATTTACTAGCCTGGCTAAAATTTCGCTGCCTAAACAGCTAGAATGCAAAAAGTAGCCAAAACCCAGTAGCACCTTACTGAAAAACAGTGCCAGAAAGGTTACAGAAAACAGTGCGCGGCTGAATCGGTTACTACAGCTGTCGAGAGTATGACGCAGCTTTAGATCATCAATCACTGATCGGGCACAATTTTCCTCGACAGCCGTTTCTTGGGGACACGGCCAGATGCGGCGTGGCCATATTACACCCAAAACGAGCCACATATAAACAACAACAACAAACAAGCCAAAGCAAACAGGGAGCAGAGCAATCACTGCCTATGACGTATAGCAGCTTTATAATATATAAGGTATTATTAATTTTGTTAACAGAGGACTATCTCTGATTTCTAGTGAGGCTGGTAAATATCTAAATATCAGATTGCAGCCAGTGCAATAAACAAACGCCTGTTGCAGAAGCACGTAAAATGCGTCTCCCTGCAGTGTGAGGAAAACATGAACCCCCTTTTTAGTGAAACAGCTCGTGCGTTCGAGTAGAAATGGTGTGGTTTAATTTCACTAGGCCGTTTAATGAGCTGTTAATATAGTACAGAGCCCCCTGGGCATGAGAGCTCCTAGTAGGTTAGCGGCAGCGAGTCAGTTTACAAAGCAAAACAACACAAAACAAAGCATGGAGTTACTTTCTGCTGACTTAGCTTACATTAACTGTTTTTCTCTCTCTCACATTAACTGTATAAAGGCTTATTCCGAACTGCAAGGGCTTTGTTTTATGAGGAATAAATAAATATAAAGGAATAAAACAAATTGTGTAGCAATATGTGTAGTAAAAACAGTTGATTTCAATAAGTAATATACAAAAACACACGGAAAGCCAAAAACAATATTCATTATTCAATATTCAATATTCATAAGTTTTAATATCTAATCCTCAAAAATGGACGCGTTATGGGCTCCGGTTGAAGCCAGTGCGCAGGGTCTGCTCACAGCCAGAAGGCAGGCCACACGTCCGTACTCCTGATTGGCCAGCAGGCAGAGGCCACGCCCCTCCGTAGTGGTGGCCATTATTTACATGTAGAGCCTCAAAGTACAGTAAGTCATGAAGACAAGCGGCAGTGGCAATCATTCACCCTGTAAACTGCCCGTCTCTAATAGATGCACCTAATGTCCTCGTGCTCAGACTGTTACTCAGGCGGAGACCTGACTTTCAGAGCGAAAGAATGCGAGGAGGAGTGCGAGGCTGAGCCTCTGCCGTCCACAGGAGAGCCCCGAGGGAGAGCAGCGCCCACTCCCCTGGATCACGATACTGACATCCATCTAACATCGGGTCTGGAGGCTGGGCTGCACTGGCCCGGCTTCGCGATCGGCCGTGCTGGACTCTGGGGGTGCTGCACAGAAGATGAGGACTCAGAGGTGCCCGAACAGTTCATGGTCCCCGCGCGCCCAGGCAGCGCGTCCTTTTGCTTCCAGGAGCACAGCCAAAACGGGACAACTCCACTCGCCTACATCAGTTCCCAAAGTTTTACTGCGTCTCAGGGCAACTGTTCAGAGGGCGCGTCTCGCTCACAGGACACGAGGGGTGTAGTTATTAACACGTTCGACTGGATGAGGGCTAAAAGAAAGGACACACAAAGTAAGTTTTGTATGGAGATGAGAACATGCTGGATGAGATATTCTAAGCTTACCTCGTTGTCTGGGTCCGGTGTTTTTAAATAGCCTGTGTATCGTGTCTATACTTTACCTCCATTTTCTTTCCTTTGTCTCTTCTTCACGTTACAGGTTGCTCACTGGCGTGTGAATTAACCAGAACCGCTACTGCGCGCACAAGCTTCACCACCCAGCAGCTGACCGAGCTGGAGAAAGAGTTTCACTTCAACAAATACATCAGCAGGTGCAGAAGGGCCGAGATAGCGAGGAACCTGCGCCTGAGCGAGACGCAGGTGAAGATCTGGTTTCAGAACAGACGGATGAAGCAGAAGAAGAGAGAGAAGGAAGGCCTGATGCCCCGCTGCTCCAGCCCGGACTCCCTGCCCCGCGCGCACCTCCTGTTGCGCGAGCTGCCGCCGAAAAAGTGCCTCTGTGCTTGAATTGAACTCATTCAAACTTTCCTGCCACTGAGCAGAATGCGTCCTCTCAGTTACTTGCTTGCACTGATTTTAATCATTTAATAATATTGCATTATTGCCTTATTAAGTAAGTTATTACTGCCTTATCACCGTGCCTCTTTGATCTTCAGTCTATTGATACTACGTGCCTCAGATATAACTTTTGAGTGCCTTTAAAAGCTGATGTAAATTATGTCTGCAGTACTGAAGTACTCACTTCGTTTACAATGCAATGCATTTTTTCCATTTATATACGTTTGCAAAGATTTGCTATAACCTTAGAAATGACTAAACAGTGTCTTAAAGAAAGCCTTTCAGTATGTAGATGCACTGTGTCCCAAACCTGTACTGTATATCTGTACTAACATTATGGTCATAATAAATGCAGAGAAATCATACGTACTGCTCATTAACTAATGCTAAGTAAATAAGAATGTCTATGTATGGAGTTCAGAATCATTAAGTGTTTCTAACCATGCTTATGATCCTTAACTCCATACCACACCCACAGTCACAGTAAAGCACATTTCTGTTGTTTGCACAACTCTTGTCAGCACCACTAAACCACTATAGATAAATTCTACAGTACTACTACTCTAGATTCAGGCTAAAAATCACATGCAATAGTGAGAAAAGCAAATGTGGCAGCCTTCATTCCCCGACCCACTAACCTAAGACAAGTGCTCAACATTCTCTTATGTGTATTGCCATTAGTGACTAATGTTGCGATGAGTCTGCAGGCACCAGGCTGCCCCAGGCTCAGCTAATGGCTAACAGAAGACAGCATCCTCTGCCACTTCTCACCTCTGCTAAAGATAATTACTTCACTGCCAGGATGATAGACTAAGCACTTGACCCAGACATCACACTCCTGGAATAATGTACAACATTCACTTTTTTTAAGTAATCCCTGCAATCACAGAATTATTAAGCACAAAACAGCTTAGGTGTGGGCTAGTTGCAAGGTAACCATGTCTATTTCCAGTTTAGTACAGAAAAAAGCTGTAGGTGTCCTGTTCCTGGAAGTAGAACCCTTTTTGCTGTCAGTCTGAAACCTTACGAGGACATTCTATAACCTACCACCAGGAAATGATTCTGCTCGGCACTAAAACATCTCTGCACTGTAATCCAAAAAGTGAGAATTTTGTTACATCATCTCCTCACAACTAGGTGACATTCTTACTAAAGGGAGAAGTCAGAGGGTGCAATATAAAGAATAAAAAGGGAAAATATATTAGAACCTGGAAGCTTATTTCTTTGACATACTATAAAAGGACATCAACCTGTAACTTTGTGGCACTTACTTTACAAGTTATCTCTCATAACCACACCTCTACTCAGGGAAATTTTATTTCAACAAATAATGATAAGGAAATAAAATGATAAAAATTGTTGAATTCAGAATAAAGTTCAGCTTGTTATGACCACTCTTTAGACAGAATTGTATGTTTCATTCAAATAACATCAATATTGTTTATGAAAATGCTGAATGAATCATTCCTAGCATACTTAAACCTCTTTTAACCCCTTAAAATCTTGGACATATTCCAATTTAAGTTTTAATATTCAGTAACTACACGGTAAACTGTGCAAACTAGCAGGGTTAATTAAATGTTAATTAAATTCTTAAGATGTAGAAAAGATCATCCAGTGTGGTTTGATATGAAATGCTTTGTTCTAAAGAAACTTTCAGAGTGAGATTTGTTCACAGTGGTAATGATAGGAACCAGACATCCAAAGAGCTTAATGCCCTAAAAAGCTACCACACAGGAAAATTATTATATTAAAATGTTACAAATGCACTGCTTCATACCTGAGACATTGCCTCCTGATAGTTTTGAGATCAGATTCCAGCCTAAAACATTTAAAAATATATTCATGACAGAACAATTTTACTTTGATCAACATATACCTATATAAATATACATATAAAAAACTCTCACAGTAGGGATGTTTTGTTTTTTTTTGAGAGTAAAAAAAATGGCTATAGTTGTGTTGTACACATCGTAAGCCCTGCTTCCTATCAGCATTGCTGTAAAAATAATCTCAAGTCAAAAAGTTTCTCTACATTGAACCATTTCACATCTTTGTTTACATCTCTGTGATTGAATTATGCAGCAAGTCCTTTGATTGATCAAAGTGTGTTATAAACGTCTGGACCTGCCAGTGTTCTTGTCTATTTCAGAAGTTACTTCTTCTTCTGCTGATATTTAATCAGGAAAACCTGTGTGAGGGTACGACTGTGGGTGGCTCATTTTTAAATTTGACTCCACCCCTTTAGACTAAACTGATATATAATAAGAATATATTCCATGTTTACCAAACACAGTATACACTTACATACACTTTCCAGATGTCACATCTACAGTCAAGTGTAGATGCTGAAACCATGTACGATTACTCTGATTTTGCATGGTTCCAGTGCTGATGCGACAGAGCAGTATCGACACTGCTAAACAGGATCACTATTATTGTTGTACAATATGCACAAAGTCAAGGTCAATCCTATGCTTTTTTTTGTTTTGTTTTCCTGCCTTCACTGTTAGCATGTAAGGATCCTTAAGGATTACACTTGTATTAACAGCATATGTAGTAATTTTGCTTACAAAAAATCAGGTGAGAAATTTTTCACTACACTGAATCTGACACTCCTATCATTTTCTTTCAAGACGCACAACACCTTCAGAATGTATTCAGCTCAGCAGTAGTTGATGATTTATACTTATCATTAGGAGATTTAACCTAGCAAACGTGATGTGGTGGCTCCCTTCCTCAGAGGCTGCCCCATCCCTCTCTCGCCACCTCCTCCAAACTGACAGACAAACTGATCACGCGGGAAGGCTGCCATCAATTACTGCAACGATGTCTATACTGCTCCACACACAAATACCTCACGCATCCCCTTCTCCCTCACTCATATCCATATGGACATCCTTTATAGCATTTTCCCAGGGAAATTATGACGGAATAAAACGCATCTTCATTTATCTTCTCCTCTGCTGCGCCCTGTGATGAGAGAGATCCAGTCTCTTTGGGTTTTTACAGTACATCATCATATTAGCCCTCCACCATAGTGAGAAATGGATTATCCTGGAAAATGAACTTGGCTTTACTATAAATTATAACTATAGATTCTGAGAAATGTGTTATTTTGTTTAAAATAGTATCTAATATAATTAGGGCTCTAATTTATGTAAAGCTACAAGTGTGCCTATTACAGTAACAGGGTTTGGAATTTAATCTGTCCACAAGATAAAGAATGATTCCCTGTGCTTTTCATTTGTAATCCCAGACACGTTATTCCAGTAAAGTAGCCTGTGACCATTAGATATGAAAAATGGCTAGCGGACAGCTCCATTCATGAGTTTGGCTTTTAAAGTTAACAGTCCCTTCACGAACGTAAGCGTAAAAATGGGTAATTAAACAACTTATCATAAGCCGGAGACACCTTAAGCACGTGAGAGTGGTTCTGTTTAAACGCTCACCTGAGGAAATCTTTGTCATGCTCACTGGTCTAGCCAGGTAGCTCCCAGCTCTTTAACCCTGCATCACTTCCAATCACTTAGGCAGCCTAACACACCTCAACACACTTACAGGGATAGACCAGAAGTAAACTACACCATCCATAGTGCCTGAATTACTCAGAGTTTTCATACATAATAATATACACTCTAGTACTCCTGAACAGCTGTTACATAGCAAACTTCCTCTACTTGAGACTTAATTGAAGGCTATTCTTACATTTATGCTGCATGTTGCATTACATCTGTAGTTATAAGGAAATATCTGCAAACTCTAAATTTCTCATCTAAAAACTCATCATAAATATAGTCAATATATCTAATATTGCTCACTATGAGATTGTTCTAAGGATATTATGATTATTTAACTTACTTCTAAAAATATTTTACTTTATATCTTATTAAGGTCTTATTCCACTGGCAGATGATTTTATTTGTTTCAAACATAACTTCGTGAAATAAGCAAAATGATCTGCATCATGTCTTGAAACAAGTAATCTGCCAATGTGATAAGACACTTTCACTAGATAAAATTACTTAAGTAAAAAAATCTTCTCCCAAGTATATCATAATGAGAAATATTAGATACATTGACTACATTTAAGATGTTTCCACTTGCTATTTTTGCAGTGTTGCTGAACTCTAATTAAAAAGCTGATCCACAAGCTACATATGTTCAATGAACAATGAGAGGGAGAGAGACATGGAGAGAGAGAAATGCTAAGTCTCCAAGCAACAGTAGATGCTAGCCTAATAGCTACCCGAATGCCCACTGAAACTGACAGTTGTTTGTGTAAAGAGTATTGATGTATCTGTGGATTTCATACGACTCTAATCCACATTAAGACCTCCTCATCTCTCCCAGGTCTTATGTAGAGGGATCATAGCGAGACCGAGGTCTCTGTGCTGGGGTGAGGGAGCTCATCATGGTGGGAGCTGAATGGGTAATTAGTGGTGGTGGGCAGAGTCCATTATGATCCATGTTGCAGTCACACAAAATGGCTGATGAGTCCATGCGGTTGTCTGTATGGCATCCCAAGAGTAAGAACTGATTGTCTTCATTAGAAAAGCTGAATCTCAGTAGACTCATACACTCAATAGAGATACAAACATGTGCTTACACACATACACACACACATTATAGAACTATTCTGGGGTGATGTGTTGTAATGTTGAAAAATAATGTGCATATGTGAACATGGGGGTTGACTATTTAAAAGAATTCCATTGAATGTTCAAAATGTCTTTATCAATCAATCATTGAGACGTAAAAAAAAAGCGTTTCAGAGCAGTTTGATGTGAAATGGTGACAGGAAGCAGGGGTCACACTGTATGTAATGCAAATAGCTATTTTTTTTTACTATTCAAAACAGCCTATAAACCTACAAGAGTGTTTAGAGCATGTATATGTAATGTTGGCAATGGTATAATATTGGTAAATCTGGAAAAATACAAGTTTTCTTTGAGGACTGTTTCACCTCACAGTTCCTCACCACCATGAATGCATTTAAAAATACAT